AAAGTTGACTGCTAGCTGGCTCTTCTGTTATTTCAGTTGTCTTAACAAGGCATTCAGTTAGCACACAAACCGCTAGACAACCACACAGCCACACACACATACATATACACATACATACACACACACCAATACACAGAAATTTAGTCGGGGAATAGGCAGAATCTGTTGCTGGTCCCTCTGAGCCAACGATTATAAAGGCAGTCGGTTGTTGAATTGAAGTTTAATTTGTTTTTACAAGCTCGATTATGGCTTGGCGCAGAAATACTGAAACCCAAAAAATATATGTATTTTATTAAATATTAGGGCCTGTTCAGAGGTTTCAATTTTAATTTCAATTTGAAAAAGAACACAAACGCAATTACTTTTTTTTAGCTTTAAGTACACTTAGATATTTAAAGACTTGATTATGATATTTAATATATGTAGATATATATATCTGTATGACTTATTTGTAAGTATTAAGATTGAATTGTGGCACACTTTAAAGGCATAGGTTTTACATCTGGTTGTGATTTAATTACATATTGAAATTTCATTTCATTTCATGTATTCACAAAAATTGGCACCATAAATTGGTGTGTATCTATAATTAGTTAATAATAAAGAGTACAGGTTGTAAAACCTTATCAACTTAAATATATATATAAAGTGTGTTTTTACAGATAATGAGTGAACGGACAGTTTCTAAAATGTAAAAGAAGCGGGGGAAAATGTAATCAAAAACCCATGAGTAGTTTACTTATAACACTTAAGAATAATAATTTAAAGTAATGCTAATAATATACGAATATGAAGAACAAGTACATCGGTTAAGAAAATTACGAGCTAAACGTGTAAGCCCATCGACTACCATTTCAGTACGTGATACATTATGAAGGTCTGTAGTAGAGTGTTACCAGGGTAGATTAAAAATCATATTTAAAATTTTGTTTTGGGTAACTTGCAGTTTTTAAAGATGACATTTGGCCACATCAGACCAGGTTAGGGCTCCATAAAACATAACTACTTGGAAAAGTGGATCTAAAGAGATACATTTTGTTATTCAAGCTAAGGCGTGAGTTCCTATTAATAAAGAGGTAAAGGATGCGAATTAAAGTATTGTATTATCTTTAAAAAGTCATTTCTTATCAAGGAGCATACCTAGACACTGTTTTCCCACTTCACATTAACAGAATTCAAATTGAAATAACGAACAGAAGATGTTTATTAATTACATTTACGTTGTTGAATATAGAAATATATATGTACGTTTAGGAATATGAAACATATATATGAAACTTTTTAATTTAGTGACACCAGAAACCGTTGCCTCTCATACTCAGTCAGTTTTCGGCTTTATATAGTAGAATAAAATGGACGGTATTTGTACTGCCCCTCAATGCCCCTCAGCTACTTCTCTAAACTATTCTAACGCTTGTCATTTTCAGGTTTCTTACTTATGGAAGAGTATAAATTGAACAGAACAGAAAGTCTTCTTGAAGCGACTTGTTATGCAGAACTAATTGTGAGTGTTAGTTTTATATTTTTTATTTGTTTATTTAAAAATGAGATCAAAGTTAGTTGTAATTATATATAAAAACCAATTCAATATCTCTGCATTCAAAAAAGTGTCAAAAGTGTGCGTCACGGAAAAAAAGAGAAAGAGAGAAAGAAAGAGAGAGAGAGAGAGAGAGAGAAAGATATAAAGCGAAATTCCACGCAAAAAGCCCTATATGTTGCAAAGGTTTCCATAGCAGAACTGTTTTGAATTACTTTGGTCCTTTGCTTTGGGCTTAACCCCTTGTTTACTCCGTCCGTCCGTCCGTCCGTTTGTCTGTCTGCCTGTTTGTTTGTTTGTTTGTCAAGCAGCAAACAGCGCGAGCCACACACTCGTGTGCTCTTTGAAACTGCGTGCAGATAAACACCTTGCGGCGAACAGAAAGAGCAAGTGCATCCATCCGCCCTCCATTTGGACGCCTCACCACAATCGGAAGAAACGTTTTCGCTTTGCATTTCAATTTGTTTTGTTTTTCCGCATTTTCGATTTTAAATAAAACCGCGCGTTTCAGCGCAGCGATGACAACGCGTGTGCAAGTCATGTAACCGCCCCACTCCCTCCTCCCCCTCCTCCTCCTCCTCCTCCTCCTCCTCCTCCTCCACCACTTGCCAACACTCTGGACCGAATAACACATACTCGTCCAAGGCATTGGGAATGCGCAGGTGTCGCTGAAAAACAGCCAACGACCGTTAAACGATTTTCGAATGAATTCAAATTCGCGATTGTTGCCGTTGGCTCGGCTGCCATTAAATGGATGGCTCTGTCAGCGGCCGGAGCATCGGAGTGTGTGCAAACAATTTGCCGGATTAAATGAGTCCCAAATGAGACGTTTTTACAACACACACATAAATACCAATATACCGACCGTTTATCCCCAACCCATAAACTGAGAGACATGACTGCGTTTCTAATACGTTTTATGAAATACAAACACACACTTTTCTTCTTTTTTTTTTTTGAATATTACGGTTTGGTTGAAAAGGCACTTACTTATCAATATGAATATTTGCAGTTCAATTAATAATATTTAAAAAATTATAATAAACCTTTTTGATGTGATATATTTATTGATATTATAAAGATAAATAATAAAGAAAAGATGTTGCCTAACTTGCAACTGGTTCCTTGCAAGCGGTTCTATGGTCATAGCTTGTGCTGATTTGCGGATAAGCTATAGCCTTCTTCAACTTCTTTATATTCGTCAAAGTCAACTTCACATAATTTTAGTTGGTTACTTTCATTTCATATTTTCATTTTCTATGATGGAGAAAAATTAACATCTTTAAAATATATAAATTTACGATGTGACAGAAAGAATGAAACTAATTTTTAAAGTCGGCGTAGTGTTTCTGATCAATATTAATGTAATTATAAGATTTGGACAATTTAATTCTGAAAAAAAAACCTGGTGTTGAAATTGAGATTAAAAATTAAGAAATATAGCTGAAAACTAAATAAATAATAATCAAGGTCTTCAATCAATATCCATTGATTATTGCTGGAAATGGAATTATCCCATAAGAACATCACATGGGACACAGCTAGACAGACGGCCAGAAATAAATTTAGATGGAAAATACTTGCAGAAGCCCTAAGCTCCCAAATGGAGTAAAAATGAATAAAAAAATTCCTGGAAATGTGTGAAAAAAAACCTGGTGTTATATTAATGTCAATAACGTGGCTGAAATTGAGATTAAAAATTAAGAAATATAGCTGAAAACTAAATAAATAATAATCAAGGTCTTCAATCAACATCCATTGATTATTGCTGGAAATGGAACTATCCCATGAGAACATCACATGGAACACAGCTAGACAGACGGCCAGAAATAGATTTCGATGCCCTAAGCTAGCAAGTGGAGTAAAAAGGAATAAAAAAATAAATAATAAAATTCCTGGAAATGTCTGAAGGAATTTAAAATCGTATTAGCTTGATCGTATAAATGATTTGTATAAATTAAGTTTCTTGTCTACCATTTGTGCATTTTTGAACAATTAATTCTAAACTTATAAATAAAATGCAGCTTTGTTGTTATTAAGCTATTATCCCCAAAGACTTTGCTTAAATCAAATGCATTTTCAACTCTTGCATGTTAACCAAAAAGGAAATCACAAGCCAACAAGTTGCTTGACAATTTTGTGCTAAAACAGCTTGATTGCAATTCCCAGAAGTCTTTGTACGCGATCCAATGGGGAAACCGGTAAAATTGTATTATTTCTGTTCAATATTGAATTTATCAACGAACATAAGACAAGACCGCTACGTGCCCAGCATAGACATGTTCGCGTGTGCCCGAGGAAAATGGAAAATGGAGCACACATTTCGGCTAAAATGACACTTCGAAATGGCACGTTGGCATTAAAATTACAAAAAAAAAAAACTGTCGGTTGTATTTAAGCATATGACGTGGCGGAGTCGAAGCTCTGAGACATTTAAAAATGCGTTACGAAACGTATTGAATATTGTGGGTCGTCAAAGTTCCCATTTTGCGGATTGGCTGTGTTGACATTGGAGCCAAAGGACTTGGTCCCTGGAACAGGCTCGTTGTGTCCTCCTCTCCTTCATACTTCAAATATTGTTGTAAATGACACCAGAAGTGCTTTGAATGTTAAAAATGTATTAATTCCGCACTGAAGCTCTCCGGGTGTCAGGTCAAAGGTGCGTAGAACGTGTTTCAATTTTTGAATTTTTATGCGTACAATGCGGAACAGTCATGCGAGTGCTCGGCATTCGGGGTGGATTTCCAGTAAAGAGCTTGGGTGCCCATTGTTTTGGTATTTATTCAAATTGAGACATTAGACAAATTAAATTTACACATCATTCTTGATTGTTATCGCCGGTATATGCATTTAATTATGGCATTGTTTTGGGCAAGTCCCGTGAGCTTCAAAGCATGCGGAAGGATCTTATTTACATTTTTGTTTACACAAAGTGAAAATCGTGCTTGTGGCGAAGCCAGTCAGTCGGTCATTCAAATAAAATGTTATGTTATGTTTTTTTATAACAAATCAACACATAATGTGTAGTGTAGTTAATATAAATGGGGCCTTGAACATAATTTCTTCTTCGTTGTTAGATTTCCTTGGATAATTTTTGGGAAGGAATCCCCTTTTCCTTGCTAGGAATTCGACTCAACGAGTCTAATATTTCTTGTTTATTCTAGACGTTAAGGATTATAGCATTTGCCCTTTTACTTAAGGGAAGAGCTTATGAAAACCCTGTTTTAACCCAGTAGTCCCTAAAGATTTCGCCTCCTAGGTTTGGCAATGCTGTTATTTATTTTTTATAATTATATGTCGACAAAAATAGACAATCTAAAAACAATACTAAAGTTATAAGTTATAGTAAGCCTATGTTGGACAAATTACAATAATATCTTATAAAGGAGATTTTCTAAACATAGGAACCCTATCAATGGGCATGTCAAAATCATATAGTTATATACAAGTATATATTTTATTTTAATATAGTTAGTTCACAACAAAATTTAAGTCTTAGCAAAATTGAAGAGTTAAACCAAGCACCATGAATGATGTACGCGCCTTGAGATACGATATCAAATGGGATGAATGGCAGGGTCAACTAATTACGGATATAAATTTTAAGCATGTTACCATTTCTATTAGATATCTTAATAATACTAATACGCCCTTCCTGCATAGGTACTATGATATGGTTATAGAGTTTATGTGGGAAAATTCTTTTTTGAAAAATATCGTTTACGAGGGCCTGGGTTTCTATGAAATGGATGACATGAAGAAGATATATTCAGATTATGTTCGGCATATCCTGCGTAATGAGTGCTCGGTTATGATGTTAAATCCGGATGCAACTCAAATAGTAGCCGTGGTCTTGCTGGAATGGATGACAGAGGAGTGGCATTCATGGTGCGATATTTTCACACAAAATCAATACATAGGTTTCCTCAAAACTTTTGCATTTATCTGCTCTAGGGTTTATTTACCGTCATCCATACCGAAGGGTTTGTTTCAACAGCTTATAACAATGAAACAGGAGCTCATGCGAAGCACCAAGGAAAAACTGGAATTAGACAATTTTGATAGCTTGGTGGTGCATGAGCTAGCCCTGCCAGAGGACTTGTACATTCACAAGGACTTCCTCATGTGCCTCTTCGATGTGTTCGGCTTTGTGGCCCAACATATGCACATGCCACGAGTCTGTTTTATTGCCTTGAGCAATATGGATCAGGAGTCAGCAAGTTTGGCAGAATACGACGAAATTGGACGCACTATATACTCAATATATAAGGTGGATAACAAACGTCCTTTCGATATATTACGCGAACTGGATGAGATGTATGCGGTACTTTTCGAGCTGCCTGTGGAGCCAATTCTGAAATATATCTATATGCCTGGATTTGAAGCGGTCCATGAGGAGATGAGGCTACGCGAACTGAAAATGAGCGAGTTCGACTAACAACATTTGTATAATTTCCAAAATAAAACTGAAAATTAGTCCAAATCCGACTTTATGCTTGAGAGATTAAAGCAAATTGTCTGAGCTCTAAATTTCTGATTGCAGAAATTAATTTTCCTAACCCAATTAACGGTGTAATTTTCTCCTGAAAGCCTTTATTATTTCAAAACACATCACTTAGACTTTTATAACGAATTTCTGCTGCAGCAGATCCAAAATTGTCGAAATAATAAATACGATTTGTATATATGCTTTTATTTGTATCCAAAATATATTTATAATAAAAAAAATTATTTATTTAATAATAATAGTAAACAAATAAATATATATATATCCAGAATGAAACAGAAGTTGAGTCCACAATCGACTTTATATCGCAATACTTAATATATTAAAGCAAATTGTTGAACTCCGCATTTCTTATTGCAGATTATAATTCTCAAAGCCCAATTGAAGGCGTTATTTTGATCCAGAACCACTTTATTTCCAGACTCATCCTCTATAATTACAATTAGGTTTTGATGCCGAATTTAGGCTGCTGTGGCCCTTTTTTGCTGTATGGTGGCGGAGGTTGAGGCCCCTTATTGTTCAAATCCTGTGCTACTTTTACATTATACCTCGGTTCTGGCGCAACATTTTTACCCAAAAAGACGGGTGGTCCTTTATTACCTAATTGCGTTGACGGCAATACCAATGGTGAGCAGTCAGGGCAAACGCCTGGAGCTCCTGGCCAGCCTCGATCGCCCTTTGCACCATTTAAGCCGGGAATGCCTGGATCGCCCGGGCGTCCAGGTGCACCCTCAGGACCTCGCGGTCCCTCATACCCATAACCATCATCGCCACGCTCTCCTTTCGGACCACTTGGTCCACGATCGCCGGGTAAGCCCCGCATGCCGACATCACCTGTTGAGAATTGAATCAATTATATTTAAGAGTATATTCATATTTATTGAAAAGGCTCACCTGGTAAACCTGGTAAGCCAGGCGGTCCGGGTGGACCCACCAGCAAGCTTGCATATTCGATGATGTACTCTGAATTAGACAAAAAATGCACATCATTAGGATAGTTATTATGGATCTACATATATATAGTTTACAAGTAACTACAACAAACGACCGATATTGTATGACTATATATGTATGTGCGATATATATAACAGATACTAAAATAAACTGAGCCTCGTGGAACTAGTTAGCAATCTATCTATCCAAGGGTGTAGGCAGGGGGGTCGTTGCCTACAAACATTTTTGCCATATAAAGTCGGCCACACGTTCATTATTATGACGCACTATTTCGCCTTAAAATGGATCTGAGTTGGATTTGTTGACGTTTTTTCATTGATCATATGCATAAGTTATTTTTTAAATGCATCGTGATTTATTTAATCAAAATTGTAATTTGGTGGCCCCCCTTTGGTAAAAAGCTGCCTACGCCTCTATAGCTAAGTCAATTCTTCATGCAAAGTTAAGTCATGTTTGAACGGAAGTAGGAGGAATACCAAAGCAATTGAATGGATCAAAATACGTCCACTACTATATCGACTTGTTCCGTAACACATACCTATATCTGCCTATATCTGATGTTTACATTACTATTCAGGATTTTCTTTACATTCATCTGCTTACCTTTAACCACAACCAAGCAGATCTCCCGAACTGGCGTTGTCCAAAGCAACCATGGCCATTGGGTAATGGCCGCTTGCCAAGAATTAGGGTCATATAAGTGTGAACCTGCAATCTTTACAGTCCCATCAACTGGACCATTAATTGGCCCAAGATTATTGACGGGCTGCAGGAATAAATCTTCGCACTGGCTACGCGCCGGTCGCTCTATATCACAACTGAAGACCATCCATTGCACATCGATCTGAAACAGATGGTTTGAAAAAGCCAAATGATTTTTATACGTAATGGGTATTACCCTCTACCTACCGGTACGGTGCTTCTTGTGCGACAATCTTGGGCAATTGAGAATATCCCATTGGCCGCACCGAAGGGCAAATGGTGTTCGAGCGGCGAACGGAGTTGTCCGCTTAGGTCCGGCACGGGTCTGCAATCGACCCACAAACGCACGAAGTCGTGCGTGATGCCCAACATGAGTTTGTGCCAAGCGCCGTCAAATATTTGCAGCTCCTCGAAGGAGATTCTTTGTATAGTTCCGTCGTACTTGGGCAGAGAAAAATCGATTGTATGCTGTACGGGATTGATGTTAACACTCATCTGTGACGTATACCGGAAGTCACTGAGTTCAAACAAATGCCATTCGCTGTGCACTTGTTGCTGGGGCAGTCGGAAAATGCACTCAAAGGAGAATTCGTTGGGCACGCCCCTGGGAAAGGCCTGCAGTGTGGTAACAGTCCAATTGGAATATTGCTGCAAATGGTAGGCAGTCTGAAAATCGCTCGTCCCTATTATCCGTTCTATGCCCTCCTGGCGCTCCTGGTACTGCTCGAAGTGGAGGGCAGCAATCATGTCAAATGTGGTTGGGTCTGGCTCATCGGGTCGCTGTTGTCGGCATGGACCTTCGTAGTTCAAATTCTCATGTTCAAAATAGTCCAGAGTAGGCAGAATGGCTGAGATTTACAAATAATCATTATTTTGTTCTTCCGCTGAATCAGCATTTTCAAATTTTAACACACCCTTGCGACTCTGCTGTAGAGAATTGGCAATCAATATCAAATATATAGCAAAAGCTATTACTCTAAGCTTTAGGAACTCCTTCATCTCGACTGAATTGAACTGATGTTATTGAGTTACTGAACTACTCCAATACTTATCATGCTAATGCCACAATTTTTGAGCGAAGACTGAATTTTGTTTTGTGCCTGCCTGCACTTTTATTTGATTTTCCAAACAGGCAGACAACTGCAAAACAAATTAGGAACACTCGTATTCAAATCTTGTCGCTATTACGATACCATTCGTCTGCCCTAAAAATGAATCATTGCACACACATATACATATACATATTTACGTACATACGTTCGTATGTAAGAATCGACAGTGCATTTCAGCCGCCAGATTTGTAATCGATCGGTAAAGAGATAAAGATTCCACATCTAGACTTCAGTTCCGAGTGCGTGTGCTACATGCTTGCAGTACAGAGCCACTCTATTGAGAGAAAAACTACTTACAGTTGACTCTCGATAATTCGAAATTTGACGGGCTCTTAAAATATTACGAATTATCGAGAGTTTGAAATATCAAATGGTTCGAAATTTGTGAGAGAAAATAAATAAAACTTCGAATTATTAAGTGTTGTTCAATTATTATTTATTAACTTCTATTCTATAACAATGTTACATACATATATACAGTAACTGAATGATAACTAAACAAAACAAACCGAACTAATCATAAAAAAAAAAACAGTTACCGGGACGGATCTTGAGCGGTGACCGTTGGATGCGCAGAAGTCGATTTTTGCGGCGCGACGGGCGGGACTAGCACCTGTACGTTGAACAAGTTTGAACTTGTCGCAAAATGTACTTACATACAATATTTCCGCCTCTTTCTCTATGCAACTTTGAATTGTCGAGTGCTGGACGCCGATGAGTTCGAATTAACGCGTCGTTTTGTTATATAGCAATGATTTTTTCGTTCGAATTACCAAGTGCATAAAAATGTATTCATTTACTATAGTTCGAAATATAAAGAGATTTTGGAGGGAACTCATGATAACTTTAAATTATAGAGAGGTTTGAATTATCACAGGTTTGAATTAACGAGAGTCGTCTGTATATACATACTCGTACAAGTATGTATGTTTATAATGCTATTTGTTCATGTTTTTTTATTCACTGTATCGGAAGTACTTTTTGTACCTTTTGTCCTAAATAAAAACCCCCAGCACGTTAGTTATTTTGAACCCAAGAAAGAGCTCTTTTAGTAGTACAGAATTAGTTTCATAAGGCCTAGAAAAGTTTATTAACAAATTCATCATATTTGAAAAGTTCTTTATTATTGTTTATCAAAGAATATTAAAATGAAACAAGTGCTTACAATTAATGCCTGCTTGAATAATTTACCAAACCACAATCGAAACAGTACGTGTTGCTGGCAACTCACATACAAAGTGTTTCGCCATCGTACAGCTCCCCATTTTCATGGTAAACCTATTTTTATATGAAAACCACAAGTGTGCGCAATCTTTAGAGTCATCGTTGACGTTCTCTGGAGACCAGGCAGTATATGTGGGTTCCTTTCCAGTCGCAATCGACACGTAATTGCCTTCTTCGCCCAGATCATTTATATCCAGCCAATAGTTTTCTTTGCTGCTTTTCAAGGCCAACGTAATTTCGTACATTTCGTCTTTGTTTTGAAACTGGACCAGATTTCCGCCTAATTCGCGACACTTTTCCGCAGCTTGGAACCAATTGAGCTTAAGTTTTTGCTCAATATAGTAATATTTGTGGCCCAGTTTTTGAAAAGGTTGAAATTTGGCATCAGCAACTATATTCGATGCATTTACAAACTTGATTTCAGTTTTGGTGCTCATTGATACTTTGGAATAATAGTAGGAAATAGATTTTTTACATTATTACATTAAGTGCTGATATCTTTTTCAATTTAAAGTTACCTTACCTGCTTCAATATGCACCAACGATGTTAATATTGGAAGCAAAATAGCAAGAACAATTCTATTAGCACCCATACTTTTTATTCAACTTGTTTACGGTAGGAAGGTTGAAGAACTAATGTGAAGAATGTGTAATGAGTCCTATATATTAGAGGTTTTTAAAATAAATTCGTTTAATCATTTTTTTGTGGCTGTGGTTAAGATTTTTATGCTCTTTAGTGTAATGGAAAGTCTTAAAACAAAGAAAGAAAAAAAATTAAATAAATAAATAATAATAAATAAAAAGCAGAAATCAAGTTCAGTATCGAGGAAATTTGACATTTATAAGTTCTGAATAGTGCGTAATCTGAAGTTTTATCAAAATATAGGTTATACCTAGAGTCAGGAATTTAACTTTCTACTCGTTTTAAATATGCGAACTTAAAATATAGTGGTAGATCATACTCATCGTAGGGCGTTACCATATACCATATATTTTTACAGTTCAAATATTACTAATTATTTCGCTCTTTTTCTAGAAAATATTGTTCATATTTTTACATATTGCTTTGTCATCTTAAATAAGATTACATCAAATATATACACTTTTTAATTAATTGTATTTTTTAATTCTTTGCATAACTCAAACTTAAATCCAAAAACATATATCAGCTTGCGTTTTTTGTAAAGTTCTGTAATTCCTCTGGCTTGCATGTCCATTGTCGAAAGTAGTTTTGTTTTAGCAGCTTCCATGCTGTCTGGTATTCTGCAGCCAACGTTTTGCATTCGATATACGTTAAGTCGTTCAACTGTTCAGACTTTAAGTTAAACCTTTTACACAGTGATGAGCTGCAGGAAAGCAGCTCCACGAAACTATTTAGAAGTTTGTATTTGCTTATCTCCAGAGCTGCCTGCGGCGTATCCAACTTCTTTCTAGTTACTCCCTGCCTTTTACCATTTACAGCAATTTCATATGGCCTGTAAAAATGTTTGTTAACAATACTTCTTGCAAAAAAAAAAACAACAATATCTTACCTCAAATTATCCGGCACATCACTCCAAACTATGCCGTTGGGAGCGGGCTGCCGTTCCTCTTGCTGTGCAAAATCAAACTTGAGCGTCGCATTTATGTTTATTACGGGGTTTTGCGGATGGAAACGTGCATCCTCAAATGTTCGGCCATTCCAGCGTTTGTAAATGGCACGCTCTAGGCTTTCAAGCTTGGCATCGCTGCAGCAGAAATTCAGGCTACGGAAGTAAATGGGCTTATCAATTAGAGCATCTAGTAAAGCACCTTGTACGCCCAGAACATTCCATCGCGACAGCTTATCGCTGCACGACATGGAGAGTGTGCGCTCACCGCGTCCCGGTTTTATGCGCAGTGCTCCTGGAGTTTGTTGCATATCATCAGTTTCCAGATGCTCTCTTGCTATTAACTTGGCGCCTGTGTAGACAACTGGAGACGTGGCCAGCAATTCACCAGCACTGCCAACTTCGTCGTTGCATTTTAAATCTAAACATTGACGCTTTGCTGGCACTTCCTGCAGGTCGCTGCCTACAATGCAAGCGTCGCCACATGGTGTCTGGGTGCTCAGGAAATGAAACTCCAAGTTTTCCCGCATGGCATAACAGTTTTGCGTGTCTTTCCAGTAAAAAATAGACTCCATCGCCTTCTGTTCGGCAGCTTTGCGCAGCTCATGATGCAAGTAACGTAGAAGTCCACGGCGTGCCAACACTTCTGCATGCGAGTCGTTCAGAATATAACCCTGTTTGCATAGCTTGCTACGTCCAATACATTTCGTGCCACATCCTAGTGCCACAACTTTCCCGAGCCTTTGTTGTCTGTCATATTGCACGATGCCTGCTAGGACCGTCCATTGATTATCTAAGGGCTTGCCGGTTTTTGGTAATGCACAAAACTTTTCAAAACAAAGACGTGCTATGTGATTTATGCTGAGTCCATCAATACTTTTATCCATTGAATATTTTTAAATTTAATAATCAGCCGCATATCGATAGCTTGTCAGTACGCCGGCAGTCTATCGATATGTCACGCAGCAAGCAAAATTGTCCAACACTGCTGCTGAAAACAGCTGGCATTGCACTGAGAGTTGTAAACAATTTGCAAGATTTTGATTATACTGAAATAAATTTAAATAAAAGTGCTTTAAGATGCCAAAAGTGGTGTCGCGAAGTATTGTGTGCTCTGACACCAAGGATCAGGAGGAGTACAATGAGGAAAAGCCACTCAACATTTATTACTGCCTATGCGACAAAATGGCACTTATTTTGGGTGAGACAGCTTAAACAATAAATTGCAAAATAAAATATGAAATTAATGTATAACATACGTGGCTTTTCAGATTGTACACTGGAGCAGTTGCCACTACGCGAAGTGGATAATGCCCGTGTCATAGATGCCAACGACCATGCGAACAAATTAACATATAATACAGCATATAAAACTATTTACATACATCGGAAGGGAAAGGGAATCGAGAAGCAATATCGATATAAGGTGAATAATACATTAAAATGTACTTGAACAACATATTAAACATATTTTTCAGTGCCGCAGCTGCAATTTGCCTTTGTACTATCGCCATAATCCAGACTCTCACGTTACATTTGTGCTGCAGAATGCGCTGGTGCGCAACAAAGGTGAAAATCTGGCTCAAATTCTCTCAGCTTATTCAAAAAACAATGGAACTGCAGCTGGAGCTGCTTCTGCTGCAGTGCCCTCATCATCTATGGCGCCCCCAGCTGCCAAGGATGCGGCCGTAGTGGATGCGACTGGTAAAAAGGTTATAATGACACGACATATGGGAAAATTCAGTTCAGTAACAGTGTCCACAATTGATGAGGAGGAGGACGAAATTGAAGCGGTACGCTCTATAGGAAATAGTCTCTTGATCATGAAAATGCAACTTTTGTTTTAATCTTGACAGCGCGAGATTGCCGACAGCTATGCCAACAATGCGCGCATCATTGAGAAACAACTGCAACGGAAAGGCGGCAAATTGACGGATGTTGGTGTGAAGGGCAAGGTGGACGAAGCACCCCCACCGAAAAAACAGCGTGGCACTTTATTGGAATGCTAATACATTTTCAAAAAACTAACAACTATTTTTTAATAAAAGTAAAATAGGCAATTGATCATTTCAGAAAGTTATACACAATCTTGATTCTTAAAATCAATATTAGCTTGCAATAAGAATGCTGTGAATCAGATCCATAGAACATCGGTGTGGAAGGAGTAGCGATTTCGATTTCGACTCGTCATGCTGCTCATATACTCAGCTATAACGTGTTGTCTACCATTCATTCTTCGGGGTGTTAAAAACATACACACCATTATCATTAACGCTTACGTAGCAAGGGGTATTAAAATATTACTTCGTCAAGAAACACAGAACTTAACCAAATGAAACAGGTAGAGAAGCTAAAGTCGGGTGTCCCGACAGAGTTTAAGCCTTTGTAAGCTGATCGTTTGTATGTACATGTACCCGCGTCTATTGGGTCAGCATTTCGCACCTTTAAACCTCTAAAGTGCCACAAAAACAATTCCACTTGAGTCCTAAGTAAGCCTACAATAATGGGCATATGACTTTATTAAAATACGCTCTGCTAAATGCTGTTAACAAATAAAATAACTCTTGGCCCAGTAAGAAAAAAGTTACCAATCAAATAATTTTAATTGTTTTTCAAAATTTGGGACAAATGTAGCAGACTTGTTAGTAAAGCTTCGACAAATGTTTAGAAAGTATCTCTGTACATATATAAGTATATACATACAAGTATGTATGTATAATTTAGGTTGACAGCCATTTTGTATTGAGTTCTCTTTCTACTTCTGTCTACATATTTATTTTTTGTTTAATCCTTTAGGGCTTTTACAAGAACTTTCCATCTAACTCTATTTCTGGCCGTCCGTCTAGCTGTGTCCCATGTGATCTTCTTCCGGGATAATTCCTGAAGGGTAGTCCGTCGTCAGGTTATCTTAGGTCTACCGATCCGTCTGCTTCCTTGGGGGTTCCAGTCTAGCGCCATCCTTACAATGCTGTGCGGGTCTTTCCGCACCATTTCCCCAACCATTTCTTCTTCCTTGGATTGGAGACTCACCAGTCATGCCATTTAATATTCTGTTGACATATCCTTTTTAATGTAAAAACCAACTCGACAAAATCTATTTATACATATATATTTATCTATTTATTTTAAGCAATTAAAAATAATTGGTTTATCATAAGTCTGATGAAGCATAGGTGCATATATTATTTTGATTTACTCTGCTATCGAATTCCACATACATACTAATTATAATCCAACGAGCCGCAAACCCTTTAATTCTACTCCACCTACGCTGCCGACTAAGGTTGCGGTTAGGCACAAGAATCTACAAGTATAAAAAGCACTGCAGCTTAGAACAAAGAGCTGAATTGTAATTGAGACTTAATGGAGTGTTGTTGAACTAGTGCTGGATCTTTTGAAAAATATATGAAAAGGCTATTCAGAGCCACGTAATGGGCAAGCAATTGTTTTGGCTTGCGTGCTTGGGGACATGCCTTAGCATCGCTGTGGCACAAAATCATGTGTGCCACAAAATGGTTGAGGTGCCCATCAGAGCAGAAAAGGAGTCGAAACTGAAGGTGGAGCGCAGAACCCACGACATCAATGGAAAACAAGACATAAAAGAAACCATTGAAACTTTTAAAGGAGCAGGGGTTGGTATTACCATCCAATAAATACTGGATTGGACTAATTTCAAGTGCAATTCTCTTCTTTTAACGTTTGCAGATCAATTTTAAAACGATAAACAGCACAGTTTGCTGCGATGGCTACGATGGACCGATCGACAACTGCAAGCCAGTCTGTTCAGGTTGTGGTCCAAACTCCTATTGCCAGGCTCCGGGGACTTGTGCCTGCAACAAGGGCTATATAAGAAAGCAAGGCAAGTGCGTTCCCTTTTGTGCGGATTGTGGAGCGAACACTCTCTGCGAGTCTCCCGGAAAGTGTGTCTGCAAGGACGGCTACAAGTTCGAGTCTCCAGCGAGCAAGAGTTGTGCTCCAGTATGCAGACAGGAATGTGACGAACATGGCTACTGCGCCGAGCCCAATAAATGCAGATGCCACAAGGGATACACAAAGGTAAATAATACGGGAAAATGTACGCCCGTTTGCCAGCGCTGTTCTGCAAACGAATTCTGTGCCAGTCCCGGCCAGTGCAGCTGCAACAAAGGCTATATAAGAAAGCAAGGCAAGTGCATTCCCTTTTGTGCGGATTGTGGAGCGAACACTCTCTGCGAGTCTCCCGGAAAGTGTGTCTGCAAGGACGGCTACAAGTTCGAGTGTCCAGCGAACAAGAGTTGTGCTCCAGTATGCAGACAGGAATGTGCCATCAACTCCTATTGCAAGCTACCAGATCAGTGTGCCTGCAAAAATGGATACGAACGACCAACACCCGAGAGTGCACTGTGTCTGCCCCGGTGCAGCAAGGACTGTGGCTCCAACAGCTACTGTGCCCAGCCTGAGCAATGCGTGTGCCAGCCCGGCTATACCTGGGTTGGGGATGGCAGCTTCAACTGCACCAAACTATTTCCGGACTGGTTACTCATACTGCTCCTTTGCTTGGGGGCTTGTGTTGCAATCGTTATTTCCGCGGTGGCGGCGCATGTGATTTTGACACCAGCAGAAAGCGCTGATTACCACGTGGACGACGCCCCATCTACGGGTCTATCAAATTCCGGATATGAATCATCTATATAACTCAGAAAAAATTCATTGGGGAGAAATGCTTCGGTATTTACGCAATATTCGCCAGTCCCCGAAAGTTCTTATTCTCGCATTGATGGCAAACACTTTTTAGATCGAACTCACAATGTTATAAAGATATTTTATATTTTATATATAATAAAAAAGAAAATTAATAACTAAAAGTTATTGTAAAAGTGCAAAAACAGAGATACATGTAATAAAGAAAATGAATATGTTTTCATATAACTATTATTATTATTATTTTTTTTTTAAATACTTTAATAAATAAATTAATTAATTCTATTAGTGTGTTGAACTCAAAATAAGCAGTATTACTCAGTCTCTTATATTGTATTTTCATTAGAAAGCATTTTTTAGAGTTTGATAACAATTTGGTTCCAATTTCATACAAAAACTTAGTGATCCGACTTGGTTGATCTCGCCATATTATCTGTTTTTATTAAATGGACGCCTCGGTGAAAAGTTTCAACACAAGAGCCCTAAAGCTGTAGGAAAAATAATTATTGCAGCAGGCAAGATTCGCATTGTCTTTAACATTAATATGCTTCTTTCTGGATATTAGAAACTTACACACCAAAAGCACCTAATGCAATATATTTTCAAAAAGTAGAACAAGCATTAAACACTGGTCGATCTACTGTAAAAGCTTTCTAAGAGCACCCTTCCTTAAAGCAAATGCTGTACCATATTTTATCTCTTTTTTTCTTTGCATTTTCTGCTTAAGCCAATCTTTAAAGATCTAAGTCCGTAGCTCTCTCTATAGAAAAAAATATTAAATAGAAATAATATGACTAATTCTGAAAATTGCATGACGATATATATTTTCTTGGGAGCAGTACCCTTGCTCATGCAAACCGCACCTCTACTTAGTCATGACTTCGATAATAATATGTGAAATTATGCAAAATTATAGCTTTTTTTTATTATTTTTTTATCAAAAATATAATTTAAAGAATAATTATTTGATGGGTTTTATTTTGTTACCCAAAAACGATTATCATTAGCTAAGATGTAAAGTAAAACTAAAAATAAATCATTCAATTAAAATTAATATTTGTACATCATGGTAAATTTCTCGGTAAAAAGTAAGTTACTATAAGTGAACGATTTTTTCATTTGAAAGAAAAACCAAATTATCAATTTTTGCATTCCCTACAAATACAAAACTCCTAGAGCTATTAAAAACAAAAAGTAATAGTGGAATATGGGATTTTTTTTAAAAACTATTTATTTATTATTATTCAATTGTAATGCTTTCATTAAAAAATAAGCTTATGGAATTAACTAATTAATTTCATATTCTTATAGTGCATAAAAATCGAATGGCAAGGATGTGACATCTTCAGTCTCCTCCTCTTCATGGACCAGTAGCCGCACCATGTACTGCGCAGCTAGCTCGTTAGGAGGTCACCAACTTCGGATACTCCTTGGTCCTTTGCGATATTAAAGGATCTCATGTACCAGTCAACAAGCTTAATGTTTTGGCTTGCAGAATTCGAATTTTCCCTAGGTGGGATTTTGTAATGTAATTTTGTAAATTTTAATTTAATTTGTATACAAATAAGAACTTTATTGATATATATAAAGAAATAATTAATTATATAATTAAATAAATTGTAAGTAATACGAAATGAATTATTACTTTTATTATAAAATATATAACTACAAAATTAATTGTTATTTTAGCTTGTTAACAAATAAGAAATTTATTGATATAACAAATAACCAAATAATGTATTGTTTATGTTTAATGCTTATTCTTCTTTTTGTAAAAGGAGCTGTGTTTATCCTTTATCTTTAAATTGTCACTTACCATAAGGCAAATACAGTTTTTTTTAATTTCAAATAAAACAACTTTTAAATTATAACAACCTTTCTTTTTTTATTTGCTGCAGGAAGCAGGATCTGATCCTTTAACTTCAGGCCAACATAAATCAGCAGCAGTTCCTTAAAAGTGTTCTTTTTTATTTGCATTCATTTGTGTCCAATTGACCCGCTGCAACGTATTTATCTATTTATTTATTTAATAATTAATTGGTTTAAAACCCGGTTTGAAACCGGCTGCCGTTAAAAAAGGTGTAGCATATCATGCAGGCGCAGAATTTAATTTTTAATTTAAAAAAAACTGCCTCTTGCTGCTGGTTTATGTTCGCCTAGTACCTCAGATTTTGGATTTTAGTATTTGCCGGCGATTTTGTAAATTTTAGGAAAGCCGCAGCTGCCACGGCTTAAGTTTGCAAGCTGGCACCTTTGCTAAATACCAGGCGAACATAATGCAGCAGCAAGACGATTGCTTAAAAAATTTAAAAATAAATGCAAGCCAGGTTTCAAACCATTTTGCAGCCAGGCTTCAAACCAATTACCAAACTGGCTTGAGCCCCAGCTGCTAAAAGGTGTGGAGCCCGGCTTACATTAAGAAAAGTGTAGCATCTTTTAGGCGGCCGAATTTAATTTTAAATTTCTTGAAAAAAAATCATCTTGCTGCTGGTCTATGTTCGCCTAGTACCTCAGATTTTGGATTTTAGCATTTGCAGGCGATTTTGTAAATTTTGGGAAAGCCGCAGTTGTCCTGTGCTTAGTTTGCAAACTGGCACTTTTTCTAAGTACCAGGCGAACATAATTCAGCAGCAAGATGAATTTTTTTCAAGAAATTTAAAATAAATGTAAGCTAGGCTTCAAACCGTTTTGCAGTCCGGCTTAAAACCGGCAAATTGGTTTGTAACCTTGCTGCCAAATGGGTTTGAAAGCCTCTGCCAAAATGGTTTGAAGACTGGCTTACATTTGCAATTGGTTTGAAATACGGCTGCAAAATGGTTTGCAACCCGGCTTATCTTATTTTTAAATTTTAATCAAAATCATCTTACTGCTGGTTTCTGTTCGCCTGGTACTGCAGATTTTGGTTTTTAGCAACCGCAGCCACTTTGGCCATCGGACAAACTAAACATAACCGCCCTCTTCACCCCCCTTACTAACCAGACTATTAAAAATCCATTTAAAATTTATTTTGTCATTTTTATTTTCTTTTATTTTCAAATTTAATAAATTAATAATTATTGTTCTTAATAATATAAATTATATACATGCATAGAAAAAATAAAGGATAGGAAATAAAATGTTAAAGCACATAAAAAGGACATCCATCAATATTTTTATTCAAATTATTATTATAAATTTTATTATTATAATACTTAGAATTCAATTCTTCGTTTTGCTCCACGCGGCTTCAACTTTCGTTTGCCATTCTGACTTTGCTCATTTGGTGAGCTGTCGGAACTTCAAAAAGGACATCCATCATTATTATTATTATAAGTATTATTATAACTAATTTTATTAATATTATAATATACTCTTGTACACTTCATGGACAGAGTATAAAAATGGAAAATATCAGCTGAATACAGCTGAGAATACCAAGAAAATGCATCCTGTGCAGACTCATGAGTGAGAAGCCATTATTAATCAAATAAATAATAATTTTCAACACGTAAATATAAACAATCTAATAAATAAAATATTATTAAATTATAAAATAATTAATGAAAAAGTAATAATTGCAAATAAAAAACTGTATAAAGAAAAACACATGTTCTGTTCGATGTTAGCTCGATGAACTTCGGAAAACAAATAAAAAAATTTAAGAGATGCCATCATTATAAATAACTTTTTTTTTAGTCATAGCCTGCTGTGTTAAAGAACGATTTTTGCATTACAAATTTAATGAATCACACAATTTTTAACCAAAATTAACCATTAACATCTAAATGGTAGTGATAGTATTTAAAAATAAAAATTATAAAATAAATAAATATTCAGAACAGACTCTAATTCTCTCAATAAATATTTATTATTTAAATAATAATATTAAAAACAATGCCTTCAACCATAACAAATTCTCTATGTGTATTGGGTAACCTAGAAAATTTCAGTATTCTATGTTTAGACAGTCAGTGCATTATAAATATTGAAAGAAAAAGTATACCTAACATTAATGACTATATTGCACTACATTTTTTCAGACTAGGCTGCTGGATTTTGTAATCCTCAAATGCAGCAACCCAATGGGAAATGTTGTAATGCAATCATTTCAGAGAGTAATGTATGTTAGTTTTCTTTTGTTTCCAAACCGCTTGGCTACTGTCTCTGGTCTTAGAGCCGGGTTCTTAGCTATGAAGTCATCAAATTTTTTGCGCAAACGCTCGGCATGCTCCGCTGGTGTTAATGTACACTTTACGAATCCGCACTCCCTGCACAAATTGTAATGATACTCGCCATCCTCGTCCTTGGCACCCCTTCTAACGTCCTCGTTGGAACAAGGCATTTTTGTCTCAATTACTTTCTTCATGCGCTGTGTGGTGCGTGGAGCAGTGTAGAGTGCTGTAATAGGTCTTCGGCGCTCTTGAGAACGCTTTTTGACCGACTCCTCTGTTTTCTTCTTTGGGTCGGCGGTTTTGTGCTCGCGTTGAGCTCGTATAGCCGCCAGTTTGAGTTCCAATGGAGTCTGACTGACGTTATTGAAATGTTGTTTCCACTTGGCGCTCAGTTCGTCAACAGTATCCAAATCCAAACGTATATTCGAGCGAAATGTGAATGCGATTTGGGGGAGACCCTGCTTATAAACATTAAAATATTTACCAACACTTGGCATGGTTTTAAATAGCTTGTATAAAATTTATTTATTTTCTTGACTGTATGTATCACTTTAAATTTTAATAATAATTTCCTAAGCTGACAGAAATAGATTTGCTACAACGTCTGAAGTGTTTATACATACATACATATATCTAAGTTCACTTTTACAAATTGAAAATGCTACTTTTAAAAGGATAATAACTAAAATCTCCTGCATACTAATATCGATATAGCTTACGTACTTTTTCTTTTTGGCTTTGAGTTTCGGTATTGAATGCGACGCCTTTAGATTCGTTCACTTTATCCTTATCCTTATGAATGGAAAAGGATGAGGTTTTCATGCCACGAATTGCGAATTGTCTTGAGCGGCTGTCATCGAGGACAGACTTCCGGCGGTCTTTTCTTCTCTGTTTGCTGTGCATTGCAATAAGTGTGAATTTAGCATAGAGTGTAAATTTGGAGTTAATTTTGAATGTATTTAACAAATTTTAAACATTAACATAATTTCAAAGGCCTTTTTAGAAGAATTATAAGTGTAAGCCATTTAAATATACCCATCTTTGCATTTCAGCACTATATCGTGCAAATAAAATACAAGTACAGACTATAGATGGGGGATATTTTAACCAACAATTTCTACAATAAGAAAGTTAGTTGAAGTTAATAAAAACAAGAAATCGGTGTGGTAGTATTTTGGTAGGTAACGAAAATTTCATTTTCATTTCGATTCGTTTTAATATTAAGAATACAAAGTCAACTGCAAGCGAAACGTTATGGACCAGTGTTGTTAAATGTAACTTTCTGCAAATATTCACCTTCCCAGCAACGCCGCAGTGTTGGTAATAGTGACACTGTAACTGTTATTTTAAGTATTTTGTCACCACTTCACATTGATACTTGCTATAATACTACGTAAATATTGCTCATCTCTACTGCATACATACACATATGTATTTTTATAGATAAAAAACGAAAATAATCATTAAAGTGTTGTTTTTGTTAATTTTATTGGAAAATCATAGAACGTAGCGCGGCGCGTTATGTTACGACGCGCAACGACAATCGAAAAAAAACATAAACTAAAGCGCTGAGAAAATGTTGCCCCGACGACGTTGGTGTTGACTAATAACAAGAGTGTGTGCGTGTGTGTGTTTGGTCAGTGTGAGTGCAAGGGGCACGGCGGCTCCTTTTGCATCACTGCGGCAGTGACCACGAAGATAGCGAGGGCGCTGCTGCGAAGAAATGTTTTCCAGTAGCAGTGGCCATGCATCTTCATACAGCGGGATTGGCAGCAGCACGCAGGACGATGGCTACGATTTTACCAAATGTGAGAATGCGGCCCGTTGGCATGGACTGTTCACCCCTGCGCTGAAAAAAGTGCTGGAGCAGGTGAATCCGCGTGTCACGGCCACCGAAGATGCACTGCTGTATGTGGAGAAGTTATGTCTGCGTCTTCTGGCGAAGCTGTGCGCCAAACCACTGCCTCACTCTGTACAGGATGTGGAGGAAAAGGTGAATAAATCATTTCCAACTCAAATCGATCAATGGGCTCACACCCTGGGCAAGGAGGTCCCCAATTCCAAGAAGCGCAAATCTGTACTTCCCACGGAACGCGTGCACACGCTACTCCAAAAGGATGTGCTGCAATATAAAATCGATAGTTCGGTATCGGCATTTCTGGTCGCTGTCCTGGAATGCATCTCGTCGGATATACTCAAAATGGCCGGTGATTATGTGTGCAAAATCCAGCAGTGTGAGATAACAAAGGAGGACATTGAGGTGGTCATGAACGCCGATAGGGTAAGTGACCATAATACATACATAATTACCAAATAAGGAATACCCTAAATCACTGGTTATCGCAGGTGTTCTTGGACATGCTCAACCAGAGTGATATAAAGACAAATGTATTGCCCAGTCCACTGTCGTTGCCGGCGCAGCGCGCGAGTGCAACATACGAGGAGACGGTGAAAGAGTTAATACATGATGAAAAACAATATCAGAGAGATCTGCACATGATTATACGAGTATTTCGAGAGGAGCTAGTAAAAATTGTGCGTGATCCCAAGGAGTTGGAGCCCATATTCTCCAATATAATGGACATTTATGAGGTAACAGTGACGCTGCTGGGCTCTCTCGAAGATGTTATCGAGATGTCACAAGAGCAGAGCGCACCCTGTGTGGGAAGTTGTTTTGAGGAGTTGGCCGAGGCCGAAGAGTTTGATGTGTACAAAAAATATGCGCACGATGTGACCTCTCAAGCATCGCGTGATGCTCTGAGCAATCTGCTGGACAAACCTGATGTAAGCCAACTGATTTTAAATGAGCGACAATACATACTCTATATTCAAATTAATTATTTACTTAGGCTCTATCGCTCATGTCCGCTGGTCATAACTTTCGTGATGCTGTTAAGTATTATTTGCCCAAACTGCTGCTGGTGCCCATTTGCCATGCCTTTGTCTATTTCGATTATATTAAACACCTAATGGATCTCAGTTCTTCACAGGACGACATTGAGAGCTTTGAACAGGTGCAGGGTCTGCTGCATCCGTTGCATTGCGATCTTGAGAAGGTTATAGCCAGTCTGTCAAAGTGAGTATCATAATATTGTATAGATTGCAATATTCCACTTATGCTAAATATTTCAATTCTTACATCCTTCAGCGAAAGATTAGTGCCGGTAAGCGCACGGGTCCGTCGCCAATTGGCCATAGAGCGCACCCGGGAACTGCAAATCAAAGTTGAGCATTGGGATGACAAGGATGTGGGCCAGAATTGCAATGAATTTATACGTGGTATGTAAACTTGCCTAAACTTGCTAACGAAATTGGTATAACATTTAAATTTTGCTATCCACAGAGGATTCGCTGAGTAAGCTTGGCTCCGGCAAACGCATTTGGAGCGAACGAAAGGTATTTCTTTTTGATGGTCTGATGGTTCTGTGCAAGCCAAATACGAAGAAACAAACGCCCTCAGCTGGCGCCACTGCCTACGACTATCGACTGAAAGAGAAGTACTTTATGCGTCGAGTAGAGATCAACGATCGAGTTGACACGGATGAGCTGAAGAACTCGTTTGAGTTGGCCTCTCGCGTACAGCCTGCCATTGTACTGACGGCGAAAAATGCGCAGCACAAACACGACTGGATGGCAGATCTCATTATGGTGAACACGAAATCGATGCTGGATCGCATATTGGATAGCATACTGCAGGACATTGAGAAAAAACATCCGTTGCGCATGCCCAGCGCCGATATCTACAAGTTTGCCATACCTGATAGCAGCGCGAATATTGTGCTGGAGGAGCGCGAAAGTACTGGCGTGCCAATGATCAAGGGTGCCACGCTTTGCAAACTGATTGAACGCCTAACCTATCACATCTATGCTGATCCAACGTTTGTGCGTACTTTTCTAACCACATATCGGTATTTTTGTTCGCCGCAAAAACTGCTGCAGCTGCTAATCGAACGTTTCGATATACCCGACCCCAGTCTGGTGTATCAGGATCAGCATGGCACAACGTCTGCAGATAAGGATCAAGCAACAGCTGCCAGCTGCGATAGTGATAAGATGCATAAGAGCTCACAACGTGAGGATTGGAAACGTTATCGCAAAGAGTATGTGCAGCCGGTGCAGTTTCGTGTCCTTAACGTTTTACGCCATTGGGTCGACCATCATTTCTATGACTTTGAGAAGGATCCTACGCTTCTGGACAATTTGTTACATTTTCTGGAGAGTGTCAATGGAAAGTCCATGCGCAAATGGGTGGATTCTGTGCTGAAAATTGTACAGCGCAAGGTAAGTTGTCACTCAAAAATAAAAGAGTATGTTTGTAAAAATAACAATTTGATTGATTGATTGCAGAACGAACAGGAAAAAAGCAATAAGAAAATCGTTTACGCCTATGGCCACGATCCACCACCAATTGAATATCACCTGCATGTGCCTGAAGATGAGATAACGCTGCTAACGTTGCATCCGTTGGAGTTAGCCCGTCAGCTGACGCTTCTCGAATTCGAAATGTACAAGAACGTCAAGCCCTCGGAACTTGTCGGGTCGCCCTGGACAAAGAAAGACAAGGAACAGAAAAGTCCCAATTTGCTCAAGATTATGAAACATACGACAAATGTGACGCGCTGGATTGAAAAATCAATCACCGAGTCCGAGAACTATGAGGAACGATTAGCCATTATGCAGCGTGCCATTGAGGTTATGATGGTGATGTTAGAACTAAACAATTTCAATGGTATACTCTCGATAGTGGCTGCCATGGGTACTGCCTCAGTTTTCCGACTGCGCTGGACCTTTCAGGGTTTGCCCGAACGCCATAAAAAATTCCTAGACGAATGCCGAGAGCTGAGCAATGACCATCTAAAGAAGTATCAGGAACGTTTGCGCTCTATAAATCCGCCATGTGTGCCATTCTTTGGACGTTATTTGACTAATATTTTGCATTTGGAGGAGGGCAATCCGGATTTGTTGCCCAACACGGAGCTAATTAACTTTTCCAAACGACGAAAAGTAGCGGAAATCATTGGCGAAATACAACAGTATCAGAATCAGCCCTATTGTTTAAATGAGGTGCCAAGCATTAGGCATTTTTTGGAACAACTAGATCCGTTTAATGGACTGACCGACAAAGAAATGTCGGACTATCTCTACAATGAAAGCATGCGAATTGAACCTCGAGGCTGTAAGACGGTGCCCAAATTCGTAAGTTCCACATTTAATTCTAATGAAAAGGAAAGATATTTTAAATAGTATTGCGAATTGAATCCGACCATTTCCATTTGTATTTATATATCTCGGCAGTTAAAGATTCAATTTTTCAATCATTTTGGCTAAAAGATTAAAGTCGGCAATTTTCGGCTTCCTTATTTAAATCGAGTTTCTTTTTCTGTCCATTACAGCCCCGTAAATGGCCCAACTTGCCGCTTAAGTCGCCAGGCATAAAGCCGCGCCGACAGAACAATAACAGCAAGGGAAACAACAACATCAACAGCAACGTACAGCCGGCGCCAACGAACGTGGAACAAGCGACGGCCAGTGCGGGAGAGCAGAGTCCCGTACACAATCCGCATGCCTATTCGGTGTTTGCGCCCGTCATCATACCCGAGCGTAATGGAAGCACATGGGGCGGCACGCCAGTTCACAAAGCAGATGCATACTCAGCATCGGCGACGGCGTCAGCAACCGCAGCAGCTGTTAATAATGGCGAGGTAGCCGCTGTGCCGCATTTGCCGAAGAAACCAGGCGCACATGTCTGGACAACAAGCGGCACATCGGATGTGTTCAGTCCCCAGCTTCCGGAGTCGATGCGTAGCAGCAATGTGCTAGAAGAGCGTATGCAGAGCACCAATCCGTTCAACACCGGCATTCCTGAATTGGATCCTTTGCCACCATCACCATTGCCCAAACTGATGGTCAGTCCACGTCATGAGGCGAATGCGGCTACGTCATCGACAACGTCGTCTTCTAATGCTGGCAATCGTTCACCATTCCATTCCAATCGTGCGTCCAATGCATCTGTTCAGTACAGCCCCACGTATAGCATTGCAAGCACAGTAACGCTTCAGGGCAACACGATGGGCGTTGGTATCGGCATGGGCGATCTAAGCCCACAGCTGGGCGGCTTCTACTACAATAGCGGACAGCCGCCTGTTCCTATATCGCCGCATGTGAATGTTCCGACAGTCGCGTCTTTGGAATACCGCGCTGTACCGCCACCGTTGCCCCCGCGACGCAAGGAGCGCACTGAAAGCTGTGTGGACATGGCGCAAAAGCAACAAGCGCCTGATGCGCCAATTGTAAGTTGATCTTCAAATAAATGTTTCGATATTATCATTTACAAAGTCATTTTGAAACTCAATTAAAAGCCATTTTCAATACACTCTCTAGAGTATACTTAACTACATTTTCAACACTTTAATGTTTTAATTTTCTTTTTTGTTTCCTTGCAGTTACCTCCGCGTGACGGTGAATTGAGTCCACCGCCCATACCGCCTCGACTCAATCATTCCATTGGCGGCACCTACAACCGTCACAGTCAGGCGAAAGAGTTTGTGGGCAAGAGCAGTTTGTTGCTACCAAATACAAGCAGTATTATGATTCGCCGCAATTCGGCCATTGAGAAGCGAGCTGCGGTGGTCGCACAGCAGCAGCAACAACAACAACAACAGCATTTGCTACAACAACAAATGCAGCACACAACAGATTTAATGCAAGTGGCAACAACAGCCACAACACTCGTCACTGTCTCTCAAAGCACACAAATTGATGAGCAGCCTCCACAATCAATTTCACCCGCGCTCAGCTCCTCAACCACAACATCACCCATGACACCCATGACGCCCATGTCCCCGCCCATTCCGACGACAGTCGAGCATCAGCATCAGACGCGACTAAAGCCACAACAGCAGCAGCATTCGCAGCACTCCCAGCACCATCAACAACATTCACACCAGCAGCAACAGCAACAACAACAGCAGCAGCAACAGCAACAACAACATTTACAACAGACGCAGCACCATCACCATCATCATCATGCTCATCAGCATCAACACCAGCAGCAGCAACATCATCATCATCATGCACATCATGCCACACATACACGCTCGTCCCCCCAGGAATTCTTTCCGATTGCCACGAGCCACGAAGGTACACCCAAACTTCCACCAAAACCTAGTCTAAGCGCAAACTTCTATAACAATCCAGGTGAGTAACTTCTACGCTGTTTTTAAATTCATTATCTAAGCTCATTCTAACATTTCTTGCAGATAAAGGTACGATGTTTCTTTACCCAAGTACAAACCAAGAATAATATTTATTGCCTGGCGATGTGATAGGACAAACAAGTAGATGAAAAACTTAGATGAAAAAACAAAAAAAAAAACCGAGCAGCAAGTGCAGAAATATTATGTATTCTAGTAGAGCCGAAGATGATATGACATGTTTAATCAGATAATTTTTATTATTCAACTCATTAAAACAAAAAAAGAAATGAAGCAACAAGAAAACAAATGCAAAATACAAGAGGAAATTATGTTATTGTATAATTATTATATATATATATAAAAAAAACAAAACAACAAATTGTAAATATTGAAAACATTGTATTGATCGTAGAGTGTAAAGTAATAAAGTATAACACTATTGTTAGACAATCATATTGTTTTTATTCGGAGTACTACTACACTGAGACAATTGGAGAGAATCGGGAGTTAAATGGCTTTAGTCGAAGGAATTCTTCAATTTGTGATCAATTCAATAAGCAAGCGCTTCGTCAAATAACTGGTAACTATGCAGACGATTGTGAGAAGAGCTCACTTACCAATACTGTGACAATTTGCAAGGATTGGCTTGGATTGTACTTAATTCTTGTTTTATGTTTATTTGACGAAATGTTGTACTATAAATGGCAACAGATAAAGGTGCCTAATATAACGAAAATGTTTGATAGCAATAACGAACATAAAATCAGTTATATTCTTAGACGTTTGCCAACACCATTGCTAATTATAAATCATATAAACGATCATAATATGTTTGTCTTTTTACCAAACAATTATTGATACAGTTCGTGGAGTGTTTGTTTCGCAAATATAGTGGCACTCGCTATCACAATTCTCATCGTTCATCGTCAATTCATTGTTATAGCTAAACCACAAATGTACGCAATGCTCGACACCATACATATTGTTGGGGTTATTGGGAGCCCATTTCAAAAACTCCACCGGAAAGCCAGTTGCAATCGATACGTATTTCCCGCCTTGGCCCAGATCATTCACATCCAACCAATAGTTCAACGACCTATCTAAATGAGTATTCAGCAAATCCAATTCCTCTTGACTCTCCACATGGGCCAAATGGCCGCCCAACTGCCGACACTTATGGGCAGCATTGAACCAATTCAGCTTTAGTCCATGATCGATGTAATAAAACTTGGAACCGATCCTGCGAAAGGGTTGTGGCGTTGCATTTGCTGATATATTATGTTTCACTCCGTCTGCTTCTCGAATTTGAATTTTTGTGAGCAACTGCGTACCTGAGTCAAGAATACATGAAAACCTTGTCTTTAAACTTATGACTGGAATAGTCTTACCTTCCATCAAGGAAAATATACACATCAGCAGAACAAGTTGAATTTTTACACACATTGTTAAAGAGAAGCCTTGTTAACGAGTCGAGTTTAAGAGACGGAATGAGTCGAAAGGTCCAGATCTACGTGTTTATATGGTCAGACATTTTTGTTAACTGCTGCTAGCTTTATTAGTAATATGGTTTGTTGTATTAAATATGTTTAAGATTTTAATTAAAATTTTGTTTTTTACAACCAACCAAGCAACCAATTAATCTTTAATTATAAGGACATTAAGTTGAGTTTTTCAGAATTATTTTTATCGTGCACATAATTTCAAGTAAGCTAGTCCACGCTATTTTTGAAAACCTGTTCTTTGCTCTAGAAAAAAAGGCACAATTAAAAAATGTCATAAATGTCTTCCACACTAACCCACATTCATTTTATATTCATAACTTCACACTACAAAAATAGAGTATAAAAAAAGGTAATACTATCGAGTCAGTAGCTAAAATATGAATACACATATTATATAAGTAATATTATACCGTTTTTAAAAACCTTTTTTTATGGTGGGCCGCTAGAGTCCAGTCATACTTCAAAATAAAACTTTTAATTATGGACCCCAAAAAGCAGGCAAAGCTCTTTATGATTTATTTTATAACCCGTTCCAAAAGGGTGAAAGGGTGCAGAAAATGGCGTTAATATGGCGAGAACAGTAGATAAATCTGTGTATAAGGCATGTTCAGATATCTAAGCCGACGTCTTATTTTTGCATGCCTATAGCTGTAATAGCTCCGATTAGAGCACTACTAGAATATCTTGTTTGCTTGTGAATATAACATAAGTAATCGAAACAAACTAAATAGGGTATTTATATGTATTATACATACCTACTATATACGATTTATCTGCCATAAGAATGTTGGGCTTAAGAAATCTTATTTCAGTTAAAGGAATATGTTTGAAGAAAGGAGCGTTAATTAAAAAATTTGTTGTAATAATAGTGGCAAGAATGGACAATTCCCTGATGGTGGAGAAGAACGTTAAAAGATATTAATGTAATATTTGAAAACGTACTTAAAAGGTCAGCTTAAATTCGTCGACTTTAGTACATAGTTTATACAGGAACTTATCAAATAAGCGGGAGGCCGCTTTATTATTTATTATTATTAATTTATTTGCGTAAATAATACTTATTTTGAGTTTTAAAAAAACTGCAATGCTACTTAGAATTTCTAAGTTAGAAATAAAAAAATGATTTTGGAGTACAAGCGACTTAAATAAATCATTTAATTATAATAAAATATAATGTATGTACACATATATACATACGAGTATATGTATAAGCATGTATGTAAGTACATACAAGTATGTGCCTCATCTAATTAAAATGAGATGTGTAAGAATTTGGCTTGGTTTTGTGTTTGTACTGTTAATTGCTTGGCTGCATTTCAATTTAAAACGAAACAAGAAGTTTTTGTTTTGATTTTGTTGCTGTACGTTATTTCCTTTCGCTTTTTTGTCAGTCGGAGACAACGTCATCAACAATTTGCTGCTGAAATGCTTCCGGAATTTCGTACTTTAGTCGCCAGCTGGCAACAGGTTTTAAACATTTGAAATCTTTATTTTCGCATTTTGTTTTTATTACGCATTTGTGCTCTGTGTGTGCTCGTATACACATTAATTGTTATCATTTTGTGTTTACGTTTCGCTTAATGATCAGAGGATATACCCATTTAGTCTTCGTGCCCCTTCTCCCTTCGCCAACAAATGCGTCACACACAACAATTTTGTTGCAGTGCCTCAGCAAAGCAACGGACTGAACGTCTGATTCTGATTTTCTTGGAATTGTGTTACTTTCATATCAGCGGGAAAGCACTGGGGAACTTTTCGGAATCATGTCACACCATTAATTGCTGACAAATTAATGCATATAAATAAGACTACGTAAATAGTTTAAATCATATTTATAGCAAAACCGCAGCAAACTATTTTTGTAGTCTAAAAAAGGACCCTAATCTTTAAGGCAACTTTTTGTCAGACCTCATGTTAAAGGCGGCTAATTACAAACTAATACACCCATACATACATACATATATATGTATCTGAACAGTATTACCAAAAGATAAAAGCATATAAAAACGATAAATAGATTTTTATTGATACCTAAAAAAAATCGTGCCAAAATTTCAATATAACTCAAGGTATAACTATAAACTTCAGATCTTGCCTGAATAGACGGACGTGAATAAATCGACTTATCTTGTCAAGAATATATTTAGCAAACCGCCCCGCCTTCTAATAATCCATTTTAAACCTTTGGTTATAGGGTATAACAACAAGTTTGAAGACTTTAATTACAAATAAAATATTATTTACAATCTAAGATTTATACTTTTAAGGTAGCTATTTTAAACTGTTGCGATATTAAAACGGTTGGAAGCTTGTCCGAAAGTATATTTGAAAATTGCTTCTTGCCAGAACTTATTATAATTCCAAAAATGACTATTTATTAAAGTCTTAAAGGCAATAAGTGAGTTGCAACGCATAATCGTTTCAAATTCAACAAGAAAATTAGTTTGTTTTAGATTTAGTTTCCTTTCATGTAATGAATTAATGTTTAATAATCTATCCCTAATGCAGCTAATTATTTATTACGTCAGTTTTTAATTTAAATCTGAGCACACATGCCATTAGTAAAGAGGAAAATTTGTTGGGTAACCATAACCTTGCAGTGTGGGAAATTTCTGCTGCATTTTCTTCAGTATTTTTAGACGAAAAGAAAAATGTGGGTACACACACCCATCTGACAAGAGTCTGCTCTTTGATACAAATATGCTTTCGAGCACTCGGTTTCAAGGCCATTGCCCAAGATCAGTTATGTGGACGCTCTTGCTAATGCACAACAATATATTTAATATGTAAATAAAATAAATGAATATTTTAAAAAGCTATACAACATTAAAGCATCCTTAATACCATACCAGAAAATTTAATAAAAATTTAAATAATTAAATGCCTTGCACAATTTAATAAAATTTAATTCCCTACGTCAGAAAATCTATCTTCTATATATTATTATTCCGTAGATCGGTGCATTCCTACAGGCGATCAGATGGAGAGGGATAAAGAATACATGCTATATTCTTTAATGGTGGGCTTAACTAGATATTTTTGTATATACTATATTTTTTTGTATACGCTTTTATTTATATTTAATATAACCTTCACCATTTACCAATCAATAAATCGCTTTCAAAATACGTAGGCCTTTAAAAATTGTATATATTTATAGGATATCTATAAGCTATACATTTATTTCCCGGTGTCAGTCAGGCTTAGTGTTACGCTTGGTTTGGGTTACGTACGAAACTACTAGGGCTTAGAATTTCGCTTATGTGACTATAATGTCTGAGGTATTTTAATCGCTCACCTGTTCACACCTGTCAACAGCGCTTAGCATTTAATTTTTATAAAATCAGTAGACCTATTATAAACGACCTATACCAACGTCATTAACATATAATTTTTCATAAATATCACGTTTCCAAATGACACGAAACTGTGCCACAGGTCTTTTTGTTCATTTTGCATTCAATTGCACAAATTATTCAATTAATTTGCATTTAATTGGTTGCTAATGAGTTGGCAAGAGCGGGGAAGAAAGGCAAGGGAGGGGATGAGAGAAGGGGTGGGCGGAATATTGCTTAAGGAACGAGCCCCGTCAGCAGCGAAAGAACATTTGCATTCGAAACTCACGTGCACAATCAATGTTGTTAATAATCGCCAACAATGTAAACAATTCAACAGAGAAAACGCTGCACACATCGCAGACTCATTATTTGTAATTAATTTTGTAATTGTATTACATACTTGAGCATTCATGAGCATATTAATGTGCGCACGCCAGCGCATTGTACGGCCGCATAATTAATTTAATAGGAAATTAATAAGCTAAGAAAAAAGTGCAGCCAGCTGGACGACAATGAAAATTGACTGAAGAACCAGCCACAGAACTGAAAAGCCACTCCAACTGCCGCAGAAGGCTTCACAGTACAGTGGTTCAAAAATATGTGAGACTTTTATTTTTTAAAAAAGAATAATTTATTGGCATGAAGAGTCATTTCTAGTTCGATATTGGCGGTCTAAACTTTAGACTCTAAAGGATGCCTCCGGCGATGTTGGCTGCTAAAAAGTTAAAGGCAACAAACAAATCCAAATATCCATTAAATTCGTAATAATTGTAAAGGTAATTCATGAAGTCTTAAAATGTTCCATTGCTTCACAGCACTGCAGCACTGGCTGTAAAATCTTGCCATTTCTTTCCAATTACTCGTAGAGTATGTTGTCACCTAAAAGAAAGGGATATGGGAGCATCTAATATTTTCATAAATCTTATTGAAAAAATATCATAACTTTTTTCGACGAGCAGAAGAGTTCTTTAAAATCGATATAATATTGTAATATTGTAATAATTATAATGTTACTACATATTTTTTTTCAAATAACATTTAAAGTTTCTTGTATAATTAATTACTTTATCTACAAACAAAACTGTCGATAGAAAAGAAAGCAATAAAAAGGAATAAGGAATCCGACTGAATTGGGGAGCTTTATTTGCCAAAAGGCAATTAAATAAGTGTTGCAATAAATTGTGAGTAAAAAACCTGCACTGTTAGAAACATGTTTTAAAGTGCTTCTAAATATTTATAATTAGAAAATTTTACATTGCAGATTAAAGCCCACTCCTTAATAATAATTTGATTTGAAAAAATCATTTAATTTTTATAGTGAAAAAAAGATGATAAGGTTCATTGCATTTATAAGATTAAGTCGCCCAATCACTTCAATCACTACAATAAATTAAAGCGCACTCGCAGTCAATACTTGTATTAATGGACATGATCGCTGCTAAGAGCTTCTGCTATTATGCTTATAAAAATATGAAAATAAAAAACAATAAATAAATATTTTAAACAGAACTGAAGCCAATAATACATACAACAAGGATATTACTGTTTTCCACTTTAATTTCAACAAAGATATATTCATTGGCTTTGCAAAGACGTTTGAGCCCACAAATCGGCTCACACACACACCATAAAGATTGTGAGAATGATGTGAGAACGTGTGGCCAATTATGTGGCAGCATTGATGAGATTGATGATTGATGCAGCTGCTGCCTGTTACTTTCCCATATGAGTATGAGCGCGCAAAAAAGTCAACGACAAACGACTTGACATCGCAGGCGAGTGTCGAGAACGCCAAACGAACGCTACAGACAGACATTGTCTTTATGTAAGTTGTTGCTCCGCCTGTGTAAGTATATATGTATGCCTATGTATGTGTGTGTGTATATATGTGTTGGTGTGTAAAATCACAAGCAGACGTTAAACGCCGCTGAGCTTTTATAAAAGCGGCAACAACAGCAAAAATGCATTCAGTTCGTGAACATCGTCAGAATCATTGTCAAGTGCGAAGCGCAAGGAGCAGCAGCAATTGGTTGCAGGAATATACAGCAACAACAACAAGAATAAAATAATATATCGCTGTAAAGTCTTGCCAACAAAATAAATAAATAAACAACATGTTAGCCAGCGAAAATTTTCCCACACATCACTACAAGGAATCTATATTTAAGCCATATAATGCAGGCAACGACAACGACAACGACGGCCAGAACGTCGATGTCAACGATTTGGCAACCGTTAACAACGCGTGCAAGACACAGGCAGCAGCAACAACACTGGCTAAGAGCAATGGCATGAAAGCTGAAGCTGAAGCAGACACTGGCGTTGACGCTGATGCAACCACGATTAATGCAAAATCTTGTGCGGTCGTTGGCGCAGTTGAAATCGGGGATTCATCCAATATGTTTAATAACAATAGCTGTAACAGCAGCAATAATAATAACAACAACAATAACAACAACAATAGCAGCAATGGTGCAATTAGCAACTTTGTGGCCAGCCATCCGGTGGCAGAATTTGAACAATTTATACGCGTTTGCGTCGATGAAATTATCAAATTGGCCGTCTTCGAAGGCACCAATCGCTCCTCGAAAGTTGTGGAATGGCACGAGCCGGCCGAGCTGCGACAGCTCTTCGATTTCCAGTTGCGTGAGCACGGCGAGTCGCACGAGAAGCTGCGCCAACTCCTCCAGCAGACGATTCGCTTCTCTGTGAAGACCGGACATCCGTATTTCATCAATCAGCTGTACTCGGGCGTTGATCCCTACGCTCTCATCGGTCAGTGGCTCACCGATGCCCTCAATCCGAGCGTCTACACATATGAGGTGGCGCCCGTTTTCACACTGATGGAGGAGCAAGTGTTGGCCGAAATGCGTCGCATTGTCGGTTTCGAGAACGATGGCTATGGAGATGGCATTTTCTGTCCTGGTGGCTCAATCGCCAATGGTTATGCAATCAGCTGTGCACGCTACAAACACGCGCCCGAGTCCAAGGTGAGTCAGTTGGTCGGTGTTAGTGCTCTTCATTCGAATTCAAACAAAGCGGAAGTGAATTGCATTCTAACGAAAAGGCAAGAATTTGAAAACGACAAATAATATTTAAGTGAAGTGAACAAAGAGAAGGCAACACTGCGCATACGCAATTCCTCATTTCTAAATAATAGAGCACACATTTTTAAATGCGCCAGATTTTCCCATTTTCACGAAACCACTGATTTCATTTGGAACTTAATTGATTGCGGTTTCCTTTATAAACAGCTTTATTAAACAATTGCTAATTTTCCATTATTAACAAATGCACGCATTTAAAAAACCAAATTAAATATTATTTTTAAATACGTGTACAAATCAACGAGTTCGTACAAAAAGTAATTGCGATTATTTTTTAATGATATATGAACGCGGTTTAGTGTTTTCTGCTTCTCAAATTTCCAATCAAAAGCTACAAGCATCTTTAATTATCAATTGTTTTTCTTCAATCACGATTGCCACAATTCTGAATCAAAATTATTTATTACTGAGGCATATATTCAAAAATTTTGACGATGATTTATAAAAATTTCGCTCTTCAAATAATTAAAAAACGGCAAATATATTTAATTTGCGAAGGTGAATCGAAAACGAAGTTCAAGTTCAAACATGTGGCTATGCGTAACACAATAACCCAAATAAATAAAAATAAATATAAAAGAAACCCGCTCTCTGAAATGTAAAAAAAACCTGCTAATTATAAATGCTCGCATCTAAAATCAAAACAAAACTTCCTACATTGTATTTGCTTACAAATTTAGATATTCAATTCAAAAGACTTCCGGTTCTTCATAAGCATAAGAATTAATTCACACTTTTTTATTGCAACACGTCTGTCTTGTCAGAGTCTTTATCTATATATTTTTTAAGCAATTTAATATCGTTTAAGCATAATTAATTTACCTTTTTATTGCAACACGTCTGTCTTGTCAGAGTCTTTATCTATATATTTGTTAAGCAACTTAATATCGTTAATTTGTACAGAAAAACGGCCTATTTAATGCCAAGCCCTTGATAATCTTCACTTCGGAGGATGCGCATTATTCGGTGGAAAAATTGGCCATGTTCATGGGTTTCGGCAGCGAACATGTCCGCAAAATATCCACCAATAAGCTGGGTAAAATGAATCTGGACGATCTGGAGAAGCAAATACAATTGTGTCTGGACAACAACTGGCAGCCTTTGCTCGTATCGGCTACGGGGGGCACCACAGTTTTGGGAGCATTCGACGATTTGCAGGGAATTTCGGAACTGTGCCAAAAATATAATATGTGGATGCACGTGGATGCTGCCTGGGGCGGTGGCGCCCTCATGTCTAAGAAATATCGCCATTTGTTGAAGGGCATCGAGCGGTAAGTTAAAGGGGAAATTATGGTATATAGTAACTATAACCTTATATGTCTTCACAGTGCCGATTCAGTGACCTGGAATCCCCACAAGCTGCTGGCAGCTTCGCAACAGTGCTCCACTTTCCTCACACGCCACAAACACGTCCTCAGTCAATGTCACTCAACCAATGCAGCCTATTTGTTTCAGAAGGACAAGTTCTATGACACATCCTACGACACTGGCGATAAACACATCCAATGTGGTCGACGTGCCGACGTCTTTAAGTTCTGGTTCATGTGGAAGGCCAAGGGCAGCAAAGGATTGGAGGCACATGTGGATCAGGTATTCAAAATGGCCGTATTTTTCACCGCCATGTTGCGTGAGAGAACTGGCTTCGAATTAGTGCTGGATCAGCCCGAGTGCACGAACATTAGCTTTTGGTATATTCCGCCCAGTTTGCGGCAGCTGGAGCGCAATCAAGAGTTCTACGACAAACTGCACAAAGTGGCACCAAAAATAAAAGAGGGCATGATTAAGAAGGGCTCCATGATGATGACATATCAACCATTGCGCCAGTTGCCCAACTTCTTCCGCCTAGTGTTGCAGAATTCTTGCCTGGAGGAATCGGATATGCTCTACTTCCTCAATGAGATCGAAACATTGGGCCAAAAATTATAGACGCCCAAATGACGATGAGTACAAGTACATTCTTTTATATATATATTATGTGTATTATAAAGTTAGTTTCTTAAGAGCACGGCATTGTAAATAAAGTTACAGGAAAACCCTATGAAGACCATTAACTGTGTTTCCGTTTGTGTGGAAAGTAAAGGCTTGTTATATACATATATAGAATATATTATCCTATCTGTCTGTATGAACAAGTAGAATTCAGCAACTATAATAGCTAGAGACACCAAATTTTGCACACGGATGCCTTAAATAAATGTGTACGCTGGGTAAGTTTATTTTATAGTTTTGATGCACCGCCTTTCCAACCCTTTCCTTTAGGGGTGTAGGGTTTTCACTTGTTTATATTTAAATTCTTCTTTTTTGTTGTACATGAACGATCAAATGCAAAACATTTAACTAGCAGCGGAAAGTCTATTCTGCATTCAGACAGAAGTGAAAACAAGGTTTATGGAGAAAATTATAAAACAAAACAACTATAAAAAATAACAACTTTATTCTTAACTCACTTTGAGCTCACATTGTCCTTTACTTTAATCCACTTCCATTGATTGATATCATTTCCGCCCGCTTTATCAATGGCCTCCGAAATGTCTAAACTCTCGCCAGGGGCGATGCCATAGCCTATCTGTAGACCATGTGGATTTGAGGGTGTCTTGCAGTCCATGGTGCACTCCTTTCGCAGCACTGTGTCCACTTCTACAGATGAAAAGAAGGCCACCGACATGGGTAAGTCTGCGAGACCAATGCGTGCAGCGCAAAAGGAACGCGTTAAAAGATTGGTGATATGCATAGCAAGTGCAGCCTTGTAGGCCAGTTCGTCCTTCACCAAGTATCGCAGCTCATCGTGAAAACTGAGACAGAAACGCGCATGGGGACCCATCAGCCAACGCATAGAAACCAACATGAGGTGGAGAAAATCGACAGCGCCACTCTGCACCACCCAATTGACGCGTGTGGGCAGAAACCGCTGGTTGTTGTCATTACCGCCATGAGATTCAAGCGCCCGACTTAAGCGGCAGCTTAGGAACGGCGTCTCTGGCTGTGAACTGGTCGCAATGTCCTCCAAGCGATTAAACATGGCGCTCTCGGTACCACCTTGCCAGCAAGGACGATGGAAGACTTCGGATACGGGGCGATTACGTTGGAGGGCGTGTTTCGTGGCTTCATAAGAGCTATACCTAATTATTAATAAAAGTCTAATTAAGTCTTGAATGCATTACAAATTCAACTCCAATTGGTTACTGACCCTCGATCCTCCAATTCATCGTGAAATTCCTCTCTTAAGCGATAGACTCGCTTACCTTTGGTGATGGAAAACATTTTCATTGCCTTGGCCTTTGCCTCAGTGGCACTAAATGTCGGATTGAATTGCTTGAGTAAGTTCTCAGCAAACTGTTGACCAGCACCATAGATGCGCGCATAATTAATGACCTTGGCATGATCACGGGAAATGCCCACAGCCTTGGCGGTTATGGAATGCATATCGGTGCCATTGGATTTGCTGCCGCTTAGTGTCATCCAGCCGAGCGGTGTAGCGCCATGCTGCCCATGCGCATTCGCATCGCCCAACACCGAGGCTATCCACAACTCCTGCGAATCCACATCGGCACCCACAATCTTATACGAAGGCGGCGCCTGCACCATGGACCGCAATTCCGAGCCAATTCGATCTGCACGCGAATTCGATGCCGTCATCCAAGTGGGTTCCATTGCACGACGCGTCAGAGTGCCACAGGCCACCACCTGGGGACAAATGGCGCCAAAGCTCAAACGTTGAGTATGCTCCCGCAATCGAGCTGGCATTTCTTCATCCTGCAGCCAGACCACCATTTGCCCCAGAATCCGATCACGATTGTTGCGCCAATACGACATCATGCGTGCGATCTCAATAACTCTCGCCGCTGAATGACTCTCGGCATCGCCACTGCTCAAAACATTCTCTGAGAATTTGTTGAGAAAATCCCTGCTCAATGGATTACCAACACGAAAAGAGACGCCATTTTTGTGCGGCAGTTTCAGAAAGAAACAGCAGTCGTCCAGTACTTGGTTGCACCAAACACCGGAGCCTTTATATTGCGCCTCCAGCTGGTGCTGTCGCTTTGTGATCTTTTTGTAGAACTCTCGTTTTCCCAGGCGCGCTTCCAACTCCCTTGGCAACGTTTCTAGCGCCATTTCACTCTCAGCCTCTGTTGCATAATGCTGTGCGAACTCCGGCACCGGACAACGTTCCGTCAATTGTTCAATGGGTATGCGAGAAGTTCCGTTCTCACAATTTGCGCGAAAGGGCACGAGGAAGCCCCAGCCATGCTCACGGGTATAGTGCAAAGGATAGCCTTCCCAGCTTAGAGAAAGCAGCTTTGGCGCTATTTGCATGCCTGTGCTTATTTCCGTGGCTCCGGGTGCCCAAGCTGCTTCATTATCCTCATCATCGCTGCGCGCGGACTTGTAGCCAGAGGGTGGTTTGCGACAGAGCTTACGATACCACTGAGGGTAGCCTGGAAGCAAGGGGCGACGAGCAGGCAGCAAGGAGCGCTGGTCATAGAGATACTGAAACTTTCGTTGCAAACGTCGCTCCTCAGACGTGAACGTTTTCTGATCATCATTATCCTCTACAGAGCTTTCTAAAGCTTCCAGTTTTTGCTTGCGTTTGGGCATCTGCTTCATTTTTAAAGCCTGCACACTCCAATCTTCATCCCATAGCCACAAATGCTGGCGATATTTCTCATCGTTAAGCAAGGCACAAGCTTCTTCAGCACGTCGCCCCAAATGGTACTTGGCTTCAATGCTGAGATCTTCATACGTCAGCTGGGCCTCACGTATGTAACGCTCCCAATTGGAGTTCACAGGTAAATACGCTGAGCCCATTTCTAGCATGCCCGCCAAGGTGGCAGGATGTGGAAACCGATTAGCATACATGGGATAAAGCACACGTAATATGCGATGCGTGGCTTCCACATCGCCAGCGCAGTAGTTGGTCAGCGACTGAAATTGCTGACGCACTTGCTCCAGCGTGCCCTCCACAAAAATGTTACGTGGCTCCTTTGACAAGGGTTCCCCACCACAGTAGAGGCGATGAACTTCGACTAGAGAGTTTAGAGCACTCTGTTCCAGCCAGTCGAGATCCTCTGGCGCTGGCTCCTTTTTCGATTTGAGCAGGGCACGCTGATAGCTGGTGACACCACTGACACACATGTGCAACGACATGGTGTCCACAAAACGCGTCCCTGTGTCCTCGATCAAATACTGCTCACGAACACGGGCTCTATCGTAGGAAACATTATGTCCCACTATTAATCCAGGCCCTTTGCTCCCCAATGGAATGAGCTCGTCTAGCTTATAATGCGGTCTCTGCATATCGTCCACATCGCATAGCGGTATGTCAGCCACCGCCAAACGGTGTTTAGTAAGCTTGGGACTTACCCAACAGTACCAACGCTCAGTGCTCACAGCTGTTGCCAAAATTGGCGCACTGCCCTCTCTAACGCACACCTCCACATCGAAGACGAGGCCCTGTTCCAACGGTTGCGCCACAGGCGTGGCAGTACCATCCACTGGGTCATAGGCAGTCCAGCCGGCGTAGAAGGCCCATCGTTTTGGCTTCGCTGGCAGTTGCGCGCACTCAACAAGTGGCAGAAGCAACTCTTCATACGGCTCCACTTGGTCCTTGGCAATGGCATAAAAGTGTTCCTCAATGTTTCGACCACGCAACGGTGGCAGCTTAAGCTCCACATCCGGCATTGGCTCTGTGCTTGTTATGTCAATGCCATGCTGTAGCAGTTCCGCATTGTACAATTTGGCAGCAGCGACTTGCTCCTCTGTGTAATGTCGTGGTGCCTGTGGAAATATTTGAGAATGCAAATTTTTGGAGATCATCTGCACCTTAACCAGATTCTCGGCATATTCCGTGCTGGTCAGCGTTGATTTCGGAGGCACCGGTCCCCGAGCCTGTTGCTTTGTGGAGGCAGCATTTTGTTTTGACGGCTTTAGCTTGCGATAGACCTTAAGGCTGCTGCTGGAGTAATGCTCGCGCGTGGCTTTGGTCGCGTAAAAACGTACTAAGCGCATTACGTATGCCTTAATAATTTAGAAAACATTGCCCAAATGCAAGAAAAACAAACGCACCGGTCAGTGCATGGTCAATGGTGATGCCACCCTGGCTGAAGAAGTTGGCAAATCAATTTGATAGTAGCGGGCAGTATCGATATCAATTTAGAAGGATCGACGTACAAGTTCCTTGCATCTGCAAGGCCGTTATTGGGCCATTCGAATAAATGGAGTTTTTAAAATAAAAAACATTTTATTCAATTACACTTTGTTTTCGTATAGATAAGAAACACGTTAAAATAAACACACACGGAAATAAAGAAATCTCTTCGGCTAATGTTAGCATTACAAAAATTAATCTACAAAAAGCTTTTACACGATACACAATAAGAAAAAGCGATTTTGGAAAACATTTTGGCAAATACTGTGCACCTGCTCTCTTTACTGGCCTGCAATTTTCGATTTGTTCAAAACAAAATTATTGCAGGTGCCACCCCAAATGGAGAATACTACATTAGATTTGTAGATTTCGCATGCCGCCGTTGAGGCTGCCCTCCTCCACATTCCAAATAACAAGTTGGCCATCGACACCCGATGTGGATACCTTGGCCGCGCTGGCTTTATCACCGTCATAAAGACGCACACTGGTGATGGCATTCTGATGAAGCGAGTCCATCACGGTGTCCGTGTTCTCGGTACGCATGTTTCGATCCATGGACTGGAATTTGCGCATGGCTGTGATCCCACTTGATTCGCGCTTCTGCGACTTGTCCAGCTTACCGCTAAGTACCAGCTTATTATCCGAGGTCAAGCTATAGATCAGAGGGACACAGCTGTATCCGGCTACCACGACGGATGTGGGCGAGACCCATTCGCAGGAGAGGAATGGCAAGTAACCGGTACGGCAGCGTATGACAGTATTGCCATTGTTCGCATCGGCAATGTTAACGCAGCTATCGTGTCCCACCCAGCACACCTTATTTCCATCACTAGAAAAACTCACGTTGTTTATCCAACCACCGCCAGAACTTTGCGAGTTCCTGAATTCAACCATCATTTGACCTAAGGGCTTGCGATTGCCCCATGGTGTAGGTGATGGCGGCTCCTCAATATCTTTAATGAACGCCGAGAAGATGCGCACCTTGTAATCCGTGGAACCAGCCACCAAGAGCACATTGTTTGGGTGCCAATCCAATGAGGTCACGGTTGAACGTATCGGCTTTTTTATATGCTTCGATACCCACCAATCGTTCTCCGACTCGAAGTAACAAACCGAAATTAGACGTGCACCCGATCCCACGGCGAATTTGTTCTCCGCCGGAGACCATTTAACACATGTTGCTGCGCGATTAATACGCAACAAGACAAGCGTGGGTTTCCACTTGCCATCGTCGCCCTGGGTCCAAACATAAGCATTGCGATCAGCTGCACAACTCACAATGCGATTGGTATTTTTTGCCCAATCAATACCCATTACCCGCAAGTCATGCTGATTGAGGATGTCGGCCAGTTTCCAGTCGCTCCCGTCGCGACTATAGATATGAATCTCATGGTTATTGGGTGATATAGCGATTTCTAAAAAAGTGAGTCACCACATTATCAATCCCATTGTTTCAATTTCAAGCTACTTACGAGAACGATCCTTGTTCCAGGCGTGGCAGGTAATGGACGCCAAGGAGGCGCCGAATGTATAAGACTCTGGCATAGCTATATTTGCACAAATTCAATAATACAGTAGGTTGCAACCACACACGTAGTTTTTTCTATAGCTGAACGAAGCTTGTATTTGGTCGTCTAGTTTTAATCGCGGACTCTGGGCCGTCTACACGATTAAGCTAGCGTACAATTTGCGCGTAAATGCAAAGAAGCCCGTTGTTTTCCTTCTTTAATTGAAAGGAAAATGCAATTTCTACAAAAAATGCGATTTAAGACGCCGCTCCCAAATGTGTAACAAATTACTCACCGAAATGAGTCCAAAGTGTGCGATGCTGCCAGATGCGCAAAATACGGCCAGTGCTGTGTAATGCAAAGTCGTTTCCGTAATTTGGCGCGCTATTGCACAGCTGTTGATAACAAACTTTGAAATGGAGCAGATTTGCGCTGCATTGGAGCCGCAGTTCCCATGTCGCGAGACCACTATAAAAACATTGGGGGAGCTAATTGGCAACTGCGAAGAGGCTTATCCTGCGGCCATATATTTATTTGGACACACCGGCACGGGCAAATCTGCACTAACTAAGGCATTCTTGCAGCAATGTAGGAAACAACAAAAGGTGCGCGTCGCGCAATTAAACGCCATTGAGTGCTACACCACGAAAATACTGCTTGAGAACGTGCTGGACGCGCTAGCGCCACAAGGCGCAGAGGAAACGGCCAAGCGAGCAGACAACATGCTGGAATTTGTAAATGAGCTACGTCGATGGCACGACCAGGAAAACAATAGTTCCTACCTAATAGCTGTAGACAATGCTGAACGCTTGCGAGATATGGATGCTAACGTGCTGCCAGTGCTGCTGCGGCTGCAACAGCTCACTAGCCTGAATCTTTGCGTGCTGCTTGTCTCACAGCTGCCCTTCGAGAAGTATTACAACAAGACCGGTCTAAGCGAGATCATAACTCTTCACATGGCACAGTACAACAAAGCGGAGACATTGCGAATACTTAGTGCGGACTTTGTTCACGTGCAGCGCCAATTGCTGGCAGGCCTGAGTGGTAATGAGAAGGGCCTGCGCAAATGTGAGCAGGCAATGACGCCCGAGTTCTACAGCAATTACCTCAGCCTGTTTCTCAGCGTCTTCTACAAGGCTTGCCGCGATGTGCCCGAGTTAAAGCTTACGGCTCGCAAGTGTTTTTCTATCTATATAGAGCCTGTACTGGCCGGCACCATAGAAGCTACAGATGTCTCGCGCCTCTGGCGACATATTGCAGGACCTTTACGCGCGGCCTTAACACAAATATACATGCGCTTCGATAAGCCTGCAGATGAGGTAAGTAGCTCGAAAAATTGCATTAATATCGCTAAACGTGTTATTAATGCAGTTGGAACAACAGTCCAATGAATCGGACCAGAGTGTGCGCAAGCTGGCGCAGTCGTTGGAGCTACCTTACTATGGAAAATATTTGCTCATTGCCTCCTTTTTGGCCAGTCACAACTCTGCCAAACAGGATAAGCGTCTATTTGTCAAGCATCATGGAAAACAAAAGAAACGAATGCAAACTGTCAATGCGAAAGCCAAAGTAAAGACCACTCATCACTGAATTTAAAATTTAAATGAAAATTTAATTTATATTCTTTTCTTTGTTAGACCACCGATAAAATGTCAACAACGTTGGGTCCCAAATCATTCAGCATTGATCGTTTACTCGCCATTTTCTATGCCATACTTGAGGAAAAGGTGGGCCTTACCTGCAATCTGCTTTCGCAAATCTCCACGCTGGTGCATTTGAAGCTGCTTAGCTTTGTATCGGGTGAGCAGAATATTATGGATGGCTCTGCGCGACTTCAATGCACAGTCGGTCTTGAGTTTGTGCTCCACATTGGCAAGGTAGTTGGCTTTAATGTGCGCCAGTATCTGTGCGATTTCATGTAATAAATATATTCATATTTATTTAATATCTAAATATATTCTTCAAGTAATCGGGTATATCACTAATGTGTATGGTTTCCGTCAGCTTTGTGTCGCGATTTCTTAACTGCAGCAGTCCATTCTGTAACGTCTGCTCGTCAAGCAGAAGGGTGTAGGGCACTCCCAAGGTGTCGGTCAGCTGCACGTGCTTGTCGAGCTCTGATGCATTGGGGGCGTAGGTAAAAAAGCTTTGCTTCTCTCCAGCTTGACACAATCGCAGACCGGCACGTTGCAACACATACACAAAATGTTTGCTTAATTCCAAGAGATCTTTACTCAAGGGGTTTCCCTGCACACAGGCAATGGCACATTGATAAGGCGCTAGCACGCGATTTAGAAGCAAGGAGTTGGTGTCGCGTCCATGGTCACAGCCATCTAAAAGCAGTGCTGTTTAAGGTGAAAGTTATTTGAAAATATGAGACAATTTTAACGATTCAAATTATTATTCTTAATTAAATAATTCGTACTAAATAAAATGTATTTATATCTATATATTAAAATAAAAACAAGGCGGGCACATATTGGTGAACATTATTAAATGAAGCTACATTTTTATCATCCAAAACAAAGTTACATACCACATGTAGCTGGTTCCAATTCGAGGACAGATCTGATAATTGCCGGCACCAACATTTTGCCGGTGCGCGCATCCGGCAATTCAAAGTCTTTGTCGTCTGGTAATGTGGAAAGAGTGAGTTGCTCCACAGTGATCTCATCACTTCCAAAAGTAGACTTGATATCTATGGCCTGACAATCTTTTGAATAATCTTGCTCCGACTGCAAGTCATATGGGACAATGGCATAACGACTAGGATTCGAGGAGAAACGCATCCACCAGATTTTGCTTTCACGCTGCATATTGTAGAAATGCTCCAACCCGCGATGTGGTTCCACAAATAAATCAGTTATTAAATGGGTGACGGGTGTGCGATGTGTATATGCTGAATTGCTGAAGATGCTGCCAGTCTGAATAAATTGCTGATGTTTGAGGAGCGTGGGACACTTTGCTTTGCGGGGATGCTGCTGTCGCAGCTGGCAAAGATGTGTGCGCAACTGTGCTGACTGCACAAACGACAAGCGGCTACTGGATGTTGCTGTTTCACTACCAAAGTTGACCGCCAAGTTTCGCAGATTTAGCCACTGCTGTTGCAACTGGGCAGCGTATGCTCTGCCATGGGACACCAGCTCAATATCAGGGATAGAAGTGTTGCCAGTTGACTGGTGGCATTTAAGAAATGCGGCCGTTTCCAGCGATTTTAAGCAACGCGCGAGTTGCTTCATTTATTTGCTGCGCTTGTTGCTAGTTTTTGTCAAACTGCGATTCAGTCTGCTCTAGTGGTATGTTGCCCGGGGGCGAGACGTAGTAGTCCTCGTCGGTGATCTTGGCGTTGCGTAGCACTTCAGCGCGACAGTCGCCTTCGGTCACTTCGTCGTTGCGTAATTGAAGCTGCTGGGACTCCAGTACCGTGTAAAGCGGACGCACGTTGTCCGTATTGATGTTTGCAATCTTGTCTGCGAATTGTATACTGCTCTTGAGAGTGGCCAAGGCTTCGGCACTGTCCAGGTCCACCAGCGACAGCCGCTCCAGCAGCTGAATTGTTTTGGTATCAATTTCCAAGTCCCTTTCCGTAGTGTCTGGAAAAGCAGTGGGCACGGGCACTTGTGGTACCTTTGTGGGATGTTGCAGCTCCTTGAAATTTAATTCAACTCGTTGTTTAACTAGGTGCACCTCAGTTTTTGTCGCTGATTTGCAATAAAATCGCAAGTTGGGGAAAAAACGCAACATCTTTACAGCAACAGGCCGGCAAGTGAGCTATCGATGATACTGGGTATCGATTAGCCATCGTTAAAGGAATGTGAATTGAATAAGCAACTTTTAGTTAGTTAGTCACTTAATCATTTTATTAATTTATATTCTTCTCCTCCTTCATCGAAAAACTACATCGATTTTCTGGGCTTTTAATGATAGTGGCTTTGATTAGGTATCAGGAGCCCAGAAGAGAGCAGTCTTTTCAATTTAATTTAAAATAATAATTATTTATTTATTTTATTTTCTGGGCTTTTGCTGAGGTATCAGGAGCCCAGAGGAGAGCAGTCTGTTGAATTTAATTTAAAATAATTATTATTTATTTATTTTTTTGATTTTCTTGTCTTTTGATGCTGACATGGCTTTGCTTAGGTGCCTCGTATGAGAAGCGCAGAGGAGGGCAGTCTATTGAAATTAATTTAAAATAATTATTATTTATTTGATTTTCTGGGTTTTTGATGCTGACGTGGCTTTGCTTAGGTGCCTCGTATGAGAAGCGCAGAGGAGGGCAGTCGTTTGAATTTAATTTAAAATAATTATTATTTATTTATTTGATTTTCTGGTTCTTGATGTTGACGTGGCTTTGCTTAGGTGCCTCGTATGAGAAGCGCAGAGGAGGGCAGTCGTTTGAATTTAATTTAAAATAATTATTATTTATTTATTTGATTTTCTGGTTCTTGATGTTGACGTGGCTTTGCTTAGGTGCCTCGTATGAGAAGCGCAGAGGAGGGCAGTCTTTTGAATTTAATTTAAAATAATTATTATTTATTTATTTATTTGATTTCTTTGGCTTATGATGCATACGTGGCTTCGCTCCGTGTCTCGTATGAGAAGCGCAGAGGAGGGCAGTCTTTCAAATTTAATTTTAAAAAATGATTATTTATTTATTTATTTGATTTCTTTGGCTTATGATGCATACGTGGCTTCGCTCCGTGTCTCGTATGAGAAGCGCAGAGGAGGGCAGTCTTTTGAATTTAATTTAATTTAAAATAATTATTATTTATTTGATTTCTTTGGCTTATGATGCATACGTGGCTTCGCTCCGTGTCTCGTATGAGAAGCGCAGAGGAGGGCACTCTTTTGAATTTAATTTAAAATAATTATTATTTATTTATTTGATTTTCTGGTTTTTGATGCTGACGTGGCTTTGCTTAGGTGTCTCGTATGAGAAGCGCAGAGGAGGGCAGTCTTTTGAATTTAATTTAAAATAATTATTATTTATTTATTTATTTGATTTTCTGGGTTTTTGATGCTGACGTGGCTTTGCTTAGGTGCCTCGTATGAGAAGCGCAGAGGAGGGCAGTCTTTTGAATTTAATTTAAAATAATAATTATTTATTTATTTATTTGAATTTCTGGGTTTTTGATGCATACGTGGCTTCGCTTAGGTGTCTCGTATGAGAAGCGCAGAGGAGGGCAGTCTTTCAAATTTAATTTTAAAAAATGATTATTTATTTATTTATTTGATTTTCTGTGTTTTTGATGTTGACGTGGCTTTGCTTAGGTGCCTCGCATGAGAAGCGCAGAGGAGGGCAGTCTTTTGAATTTAATTTATAATTATTATTAGTTATTTATTTATTTTATTTTCTAGGTTTTTGATGCTGACGTGCCTTCACTTAGTTGTCTCATATGAGAAACGCAGAGGAGGGCAGTCTTTGAATTTAATTTCCAATAATTACTATTTATTTATTTGATTTTCTGGTTTTTGATGCTGACGTGCCTTCACTTAGATGCCTCGTATGAGAAGCGCAGAATTTTGAATTTAATTTTAAATAATTATTATTTATTTATTTATTTGATTTTCTGTGTTTTTGATGCTGAAGTGGCTTCGCTTAGATGCCTCGTATGAGAAGCGCAGAGGAAGGAAGCGTATGAGAGCGTAATCTTTTGAATTTAATTTGCAATAATTATTGAAGAATTTATTTATTTATTTGATTTTCTGGGCTTTTAATGCTGAAGTGGCTTTGCTTAGGTGTATCGTATGATGAGCGCAGATGAGGGCCGTCCTTTAAATTGAATTATTTTAAGTAATTATTATTAATTAATTTGTTGTAATGTACTTTTTGTACCTTTAAAGATACGAAATTGTTTGAATAGCAAAGGCGCCAGAGAAAATGCTGTGCTGTGGAAACTATTCGATAAATCAAAAAAAGTGTTTTAAGAAAACCGATATAGATGGAATATGATATCGATAACTACTAAGTTTTTCATCATCAATAGTGTTAGCGGCATTTTTGCGTGCAGGTTTTGCTTATTTGGAAAGTTGGTGTGAATCTATAAAAAATGCCGTATGCAAATCAGCCGTCCGTGCAAATAACTGAGCTTACCGACGACAACGTCAAGTTCGTTCTGGAGGACACGGAGTTAAGCGTGGCTAACAGTCTGCGTCGCGTTTTTATTGCCGAGACGCCGACGTTGGCCATAGATTGGGTGCAACTAGAGGCCAACTCAACGGTGCTCTCTGATGAGTTTTTGGCGCATCGCATTGGCCTTATCCCTCTCATATCAGACGATGTTGTTGAGCGCTTGCAGTATACTCGTGATTGTATTTGCCTGGACTTCTGCCCAGAATGCAGCGTCGAGTTCACATTGGACGTAAAGTGCAATGAGGAGCAAACGCGCCATGTGACTACTGCCGATCTGAAGTCTAGCAATGCAAAGGTGCTGCCGGTGACATCACGCAACCAGGGTGAAGAGGATAATGAATATGGCGAAAGCACCGATGAAATATTGATAATCAAACTGCGCAAGGGTCAGGAGCTGAAACTGCGCGCATATGCAAAGAAAGGCTTCGGTAAGGAGCACGCCAAATGGAATCCTACAGCGGGCGTGTGCTTTGAATATGATCCGGACAACTCTATGCGCCATACTCTCTACCCCAAACCTGATGAGTGGCCCAAGAGCGAGCACAGCGAACTCGAAGATGATCAATATGAAGCACCCTACAACTGGGAAGCGAAGCCGAATAAGTTCTTCTTCAATGTGGAGTCCTCCGGTGCGTTGAAGCCGGAAAATATTGTCGTTATGGGTGTGCAGGTGCTGAAGAACAAGCTCTCGAATCTGCAAACACAACTAAGTCACGAGTCCCAAAACGACGCACTGGCTGTCTAAACTGTAACACTTGTGTCTATATTTAAGCTCATAAAAGTACAATAATGACTAATCCTTGAATAAACTGTCTATGTTAATGCCACTGCCTGCATCTTTTTTCGGGGTTCCAGATGCTGCCTTTTCTCTTCCTCCAGCCTCCTGGAAATCACTGAGCAGTGTCGTCTTTGGCTCCACCACCTCAACTTCATCAATTGGTGCAAAGTTCTCTGATGCGGATTCTGGGCGCGACTGCTGTCGCTGTTCCGCTAGCAAGTCCAACGCCGTTTCGTATATGCGCTGGTCATCAAGTGCTCCTTGCGTTTTCAGATCCTCGTAGATTTGAATAAATTGCTGCGATTGCGTGCTGCGTTTATGATCAAACAAATTGATGGTCTCGTTGTGCGTACGTTCCTTGTGGTATTTCCTATGGGAGAAGGGGAATTTCTATTTAGGTTAAGAATAACGGTTGTCGAATGTCACTTACGCTCGCACTACATCTTCTGCATAGAATATATTGCGTATAGGTATATCGGGTGCGGGTCGATCGAAACGAGGTTCTGCCTTGGGTGGAAAGGCAGCATAAACTTCATACCAGAGCGGTTTGTCTTCCGGTTTCATCGCACCGCCGCGCAATAGGCCTTGCACTCTGCCAAAATACATACGTTTAATCAATGGGGAAGTCCTTTTGCATTTCAATACTCACATACCTGGTGAATATGGTGCCAATTTTCTCTAGTCTGCTCTGTGCCATTTCAATACAATTTTAATTCAATCGTATTTCTCTGCAAAATCTGTGGAGCTATTCTATTACGACATGCGCTGCTGGATGTTACTTTAATCAGCCGGTGGCATCGATACTATTCCGCCACTCAGGCTGCCAACTTACTAAAGAGAGGGTTTTGTTTACCTTTTGCATGTAGTCTTGCAGCTAAGATTCATTGTGGGTGCGTCTGGCAGCCTGTAGCTGCGGCAAGGTGGCAACTAATAGCATTCGAAGGAGTGAGCGAGTACACTAGCTAAGCAAATAACAGCAGAAGCAGCAGCAGCAGCTCAGTGCCTGTTTGAGATTCCAGTACTTTGCAAAGGTAGCGCCTGTGCGTATAAAAATTTATGTTTTGTGTTTTGATTAACAAGTGTAAAATCGATCTTTGTATGTCTATTGTTAAACGCGTACGGTATGATGAAATAACAAGTGCATAAAGCACCGATTCGGTCGTGGCATTCGAAATAGTAGTTTGTGCGTTTTGTTTTTCTTTTGGTTTGTCGGAAAATGCGCGGAAAATTGTGTCATAATTTAAGTTAATTAAACACGTTGCTCTGTGAGTGTGTGTGTGTGTCGTACAACTTTTTGCCGCCAACGCGAACCTTTTGAAAAAATTGAAACACAAGCGCGATGAGCAATTATCATCCCCATTCCCGCTCGCACTCGCATCATCATGTTGCTCCACATCAACTACAATTACAACAACAGCAACATCAACAACAGCAACAACATCATCATCACACAGCGTTGACAACGCCGCCGCCACCCCACGCGCAGATTCAGCTTCAGCAGCGTCATCATCAAACGCCCACCGCCTCCCACTCGCACTCCCATTCCCAAGCACAAGCAGCGACGTCGGCGTTGGCATCGGCATCGGCATCGGCGTCCATTTTGGTGGCACAACCGCCGCAACCGTTGATAAGCAATTCGTTAGCCATACGCCAGGAGATACAGCGCTTTGAGAGCGTCCATCCATCGATTTATGCAATTTACGATTTAATCGATTTATTGCCCATGCCGGACGCCCAGATAGCCCAGCAGATACGCGATCACGTCGTTTCCATCGAAGGTGAGTCTGATCCGAACGAGCACACTCACACACCTCTATCTCTGCCCCTGCCCCTGTGCCTCTGTGGCACATTCTGTTTGTTTATTGCTTTTGCTATTGTTTCTTGTACTTGTGGTTACTCTCTGCGTGTGCACATTGTGCACATACTATTGTGTATTATAATGTTAATCTCGGACCGAAAATCTATCAAGCCAGCCCAACAGCCAACCAACAACCCCTTGAATCAGCAAGGAAAGCCAATGCACACTGACTAGCAATCAATTTGCACTGACAAAGGAACTATACAAAAAGTTGATGTTAATTTAGAACAAACAATATTGAATATTAAAGAAAAATATAATAACTTATTTCTGGTGCTGTTAGAGGGAGAGTTAAGCCCTAAAACAAATGATGGTATGTGCCATAGCAATTACGTTTTCTGAAGGAATTGCATTAGTCTATGACTGGGATTTATAAGGAGTATTTTATTTATTTATATACATTTAAGTATGTAGTATTTTATTTATTTTTTATTTACATATATACAGCTTAAAGGTAATTAAAATTACAGATAAGCTATACCGTCGTGGCCTTAAGCTTGTATAAATAGTATATATATTTAGTAAAAGAAACAACACAATCGTTAAAATCATTCAATAGTTAAAAGAAAATATATGGATACATTATTTCCACTTCAGTGCAAAATGTAGAGGTAAAAGGTAACCCAATTATGTGGTTTTTATTTCCCACTTATTTAATATCAAGTGCTTCCAATAACATCGTTGACATAATATGGATTTATTGATAAAAATAAATAAATAAATGCAATTAAATCTGACAAAAACGTAGGCATAATAATAAAATTGAAATCTTAAGTTATATAGTTCTCTCTTTATTTGTTTATTTTCAAATTTTAAAACAACGCTAAGCCACTGTCCAAAGTTGCCAAAATGTCCATTGAAGCGAAGCACAAGCGCTTGATTCTATTGAAAGTGTCGCCTTTGTTGTTGTTGTTGTTATTCTTGTTCCATGTACTTGTCTGGACCCTCAAAAGAAAGAGGTTTTTGTTTAAAACAAGCTTTTCTGCCCAATTTTATATGCACACACACACACACATATGCATGCCATTTACTTACATATGTGTAAGTGAGTATCTATGTGTGTGTGTGTGTGTTAGTGCGTGTGTATTGGTGTGCGGCATGAAATTTGATGCTTGCGCGCTTCTTCTTCGTCATGCCGCCTTTCAACCGTTCCGTTCACAAATAAAACCGGTTCTAAAATGGTTTATTAGAAAATCTGTCGAAAAAAAATGTAAACAAAATTGTGAGTTTGCTTTTGTTGAGCGGTAGTTGTTGTTGCCGAAGATGTTGTTGCTGCCGTAGCGGTTCATTTTGCCGTTGAGCACGATTTTCTGTTGTTCCCCGCTTATCGCACAACTATAGTTACATCCACAAACTATATACATACAAGTACATACATATGTACAAATGTACATCCAAACACATCTAAGAAGTGTGCAATTTTCTTGCTGCTTTCTTATTGGCATTGTATTATCTCCCTAGACATGATTGATGAGGCTTATTGGGCATATTGGGCGGTCTACTGGGAAGATAGATCTCATGCCAAATCGAAGAATATTCGCATATATTTACACAAATGTTAGACAGACAGACTTAAAATATTCTGAATTGCAAAAATTTCTATTCCCATCTATTCTAAGAAAATTAATAATAAAAGTTGAAATTTATTAAAATAAACACTCTGACTCTATCTGAAGTCTCTGTTAAAAATAAACTTTTCTGTAAATATTACATTATTTATTTTAATCGCCCGATGGAGGAATAAAAAAAAGAAAATTGTTCAGTTGATACTAACAAGGTATGGCATATTCGGGCTGCTTCCATTCAGCTTTTAGATTCGAAATAAAGGGTTTTCAATTGGGTTTTAGGTTGTATCGTATATCTTAGAGAAATGTTAGCCATAGTTGGAACTAATATGCAAGCTTTTACTTTAATACTCAGTTATGGCCCAATTTATTATAAAAAGTATAAACGACAGTTTATCATGAGACGAACCACTGTAAAATTCGTTGTATAAAGAACGTCGCCTTATTACGTAGCCAGATTCCATGCAAATATTGAATACAATAAAAAGCTGCAAACAATAGACCACAAATTCAGGTATTTCGTGCTATAGCTGGCCTACATGAATATTAATTTTGTAGACAACAGTGACTACTAAAATCTCTTTGGAAAGCCTGTATTTATAGTATTATGTGCAAAAAAGCTGCCGTTCTTAAGCGGCTTAAAAATATACAAGTATTTATCTAGAAATTCAATGCCATAATAGTATATATTTATTTATCTCCATTACAAACAGATTCATTAACTTAAAACGCCCAATAACATTGGTTCATAAATATCAAAACAGAATGCCAATTTGTTTATATCGTGGACGTGCGATCGATAAGACGCCAAGACAACGCCCCCCTATTTAAACACACTCATGCACATAGAAAGAGAAACTGCCGACGGCGGCTTTTGGGCCAAAGACGAAAAAAAATTATATACATATATAAAAAACAAATTTACTCTCCTTATCTGCCGAAGTTCGGAGCGCGCGTTCATTGCCCATTAAAAGCGTTTGCAATTAGCTTCTTCAACTCAGTTTTTTTTAATGCTTCGGGCCGGCAACGCTTATCGGTAGTTGTTGGCATGCTTCTTTATTTATTTATTTATTTTTTAATTATACAATAATATTTACAACAGATATTAAACGAATAATTGCGGCATTTTTTGCATTTCTGAATCTTGTTTGTTATTATTGTTGTTGGTGTTCTCATGTTGAGCTGGCAGTCGGAAGTGGCAATTGTTGTTGTTGGTATTGTTGCTGTTGTTGTTGGTTTGCATTGCGTTATGCTTGAGAGCATGACACGCTCTGCCCCCCATAAGCCAAAGATTTAAATATCAACGACACATGTGCCACAACAGCAAAAACAGCAGCATCAGCGACAGTGCGCCGGCAGCGCAGCAAACACAGCATCGCACACTGGTGCCAAACAAAATTATTGCAACGAATTTTTCGCTTTCGAGTTAATGCTCGCCAAGAATTTCTTTTGGAAGAAGGGTGAAGATATACTTATATGTATTAGAATGTCTTAACTTAAAATGTATTAAATGCCCCATGTTATATGAAATAAATCGACATAGTCGTGTCTGTTTGTCCATCCGTCCGTAAGAGCACCGATTACCACCTTTGACAAATCCCACTTATGTATATTTTATAAAGAGGTTTCAATTTTCGAATGTTCTTTAATGCGTTTCTTGATATTGACTCCCTTTGGATATTTTTGTGAAATAGATTATAGCGCAAAATATATTGCTATATTTTTACGAGTATTCGATGTCAAAGTGAACAAAATAAACAAAAAATTATCTCTTATTTAATTAGCTTTTGCATTTTCTGCGAAAAGTCATTCGGTATGAATGACTTTAATAGGTTGTATTCCAATTCAGCAACACCCAAGGATGTTTGGAGTTAAGCTTTTCCACTGAATTTGTAGAATTCTGGGGGTTTTCAGGTTCTTCTAATTTCGGTATCAACATAAAAGGTGATAATTCAGTTCTACCATTTCAAAATTAAAAAAAAAACCACTTAACCTTAGCATTTCTAGGGCTTAGAAGCCAGGTTTTGCGACACTAGCTTCTAGAGAGTATTTGATATTTGCGCTCAGATGGAGAGTTCGGAATGCTGATCTTCTATATCTATTGCAGTTTCTTAAACGATATAAACACCGGATTTTAAGAGACTGGGCTCACAAAATCTTTCGCAACATATTTTCATTATAGATTAATATAATTAAATTGCTTAAACACACACATTCTAACCACTGTACATCACTTGAGCGGCAACCGCACGCCGGACAAGTTGCAGGCATGCGTGTCCGTCGCTGTCGTCTCCAACTCGCACTCTGTCGCTGGTTTTATTTTTAACAAAAAATTGCATAAAAATACTTTGGCACTCTGCAATTTTCGTAGCTGCACTTTGCTGAGCTATTTTTGTTGAAATTGCATAAAATTGTTGGGAATAAAAATAAAAAGAGGAGAAAACGTTTATGTGCGACTAAGAACAACAAATGCAAAAGCCAAGCATTGCGTTTTAAAATATTTCGCGATGATTTGCGGCACAGTTGCGCAAAACTTTTGTTAATTAACAATTAAGTGATTAATGTGACCAAATTCAGCTGCGATGATTCACAATGGACGGACATATAAGGAATTGCCTGCGCTTAGTTGCCCAAATATGTGGAGTGTGATGAATAGCTGCTAAGTAAAGAATGCATACGATTTCCGCTAACGCTCACTTATTTAAATATATTGACTGATTGATCAGCCCCTGATACAGTTATGTGAAAGCAAGACTAATTTGATTAAAGATCAGCTTCGATTGTGTGAGGCAAATGAACGCGTTAATCGACAAGCCGTCTTGTGAATGAAAGACACACGTAAAAAGTAGCACTTTTAAACTAATTTGTGCTACAAATAAATAAACATTTTCAAATTGAAGTTAAAACATATAAATATATGATTAGCCTGTTAATTTGATAGCTCAATAAAAACTGATCTTAATTAATTTGTACGAAAAATAGAATATCCACGATTATAAGCTCTACAATATCTGTGATAGTTTTGATTGGGCGTACGATTTGATGGCTCAAGAGCAACACTCTAAGCACCTACACATTTCTATACATTCCTCAAAAACAAGTGTTTATATACCCGCATTTCTAATGTAAAAAGCTGGCATGTAAGGAAATGGTTTTCATGTCACTGGAATTTATTTAATAAAGTTGAACAAGGCCTCTCGCTTATTTTTCATATATTCACTGATGGCCACTTCCACAGCATTTGTACTGGCTCTGGCCATTTTTACAAAGTAGTCCCCCAGATCGGTTAGGAATTTGGAAGTTATTTCCTGAAGATTACTGTCCAGAAGCAAATTCGCAAACTCGTCATTGCTGAGGTCAGTTTCCGACTTTTTGTTCAGAAGCAGCGGAGATTTATTGAACTATTTGGGAAAAGAAAAAGAAAGACTATAATTAGTATTTGAAAAAAAGTATTTATAAAACTGGAATTAGAATAATAGCCTATTCCTTTATAGAATCATTCACTGATTAAATTGTTTTTAAATTAAGAAATTGGTAAAGAAGTGGGATAAACAATCCCACTAATAAGAGTGAGTTATATATCTAATTTTTCCGGTTCTTAGAAGAAATTGAGGCGTAAATGTATGTTTCGATATTTAAATATTTTGTGGCTCAAAGTATCTACAAATTTGTGCTCCGAAATTTTGTAAATCGCTGTATTGGAGGCTGATTCTCAATTTATAATAAGAGTTTAAAAAAAGAATCAAAAAGCTAACGCACCTCCTGGAATATGTTCAGCCACATTTGATCCTTCTGGGCGATATCCTTGACAGCAATCGCCTCATTCAAACGCGCTATGTAGGCATCTATATCCCGAGCTCGTTTTGTCTGAGGCCCCAGCTTTGTTTTCACTCGACTGAAGTAATCGATTTGTGAGCGAAAGAGCGTATTCAGTAATCTTTCGGTCTCGGCACGTGCCTCCAGGGCCAGACGCTCACGTGCCTCATCTGTTGCGGTGGATGTCTTGGGGGTCGGTGCCGCAAGGCTTGCCAGGCACTTTATTTGGAAAGTTGAAATGCCTCAGACGCATAAATAAACATGCACATGCTTACCTGAATTAACAATAACAAAGCACACAAATAGTTGCGTTGCATTCTCACTTTTTTGCTTTCGTTTTTCAGGTTAATGTGGGCTTAAAAATAGTTTATACTTGCGTGTGCCCTCAACAGTTGCCAGTTTTGTACTAAACTTTGAAAATATTTAGAATAAGTTTGTTTCAGAACTGATCTGATGTTCCCTCTGAGCCAAGCTTATCAGTCCCTCCGAAGGTTTCAGCGAATTAATAAATCTTTTGAATAAAATGTATATTTTTATGCTGATAAGTATTTGCTCGCCTTACTACTGGCGAGACATTTTGGTGGTTGGGTGATAGTACATATATGGATAGGTATATACCCGCATACATTAGAGAATATATGTATGTGTATGTGAAATATTTCAAATGAAATTATTTAAAATATTTCAATTTATTTTTTGCATTTATTATTGCGTCGCACCTTGTAGCCTTAAAGCACATGTTATGCTGAGATTAGAGATGGCCATAATTAGAGATGGCCAAGCCAGAACTTGAAATTATTTTTTAGTGTAGTGGGGCAACCTATAAAGTTTTTGATAACAATTTTTGTAAATGATATTTTAAAATAATAAATTTATTAGATAATATATTTATATCAAAAGTATTTTTATTTTAGTACATACATGCATCTTCTTATTCGGTAGTTAAATGTTAAAAATAAGTTGAAGTATTTCTTTAACTGGGTTTGGATCGCTGTTTATATTTAAAAATAAAACATATTTCAAAAAATAATGTTTTTATTATAAGTATTTTTACTTCATTAAATACATACATCGATATTTTTCCATGAAGGTTGTCCATCACAGTCCTCAACTTATTCGCTCGTTAATTGTTAAATCTGTTAGTTAGAAAGTATTTCTTTAAAAGGGTTTGGAGTGTTCTCTATAGACCATTATCATACATTTTCATGTTACATTTATGCCTAACCTTAAGTATACAGTAAATTATAAGTGTTTTTCGTTTCGCCTTGGAGAAACCTTTCTAAGCTTTTAAATGGTATAATATCTTGCTCTTTATTGAAACGAAGCCACTCTGTCGCTTTTCCTCCACAAATTTGAACATTTAAATGATCATATGTAGGTATATATATGTTAAGTTGAAAGAAATGCGAAATAACATTTTCCTAAAAGTATACCTTACATTTTGCGTTACTTCACAATAACAATCCGTTTCAAAGTTGAATCCACCACAATTTGCAAACTCACCACGAATGTATGTATGTGGCTCTATAAGTATGCAACAAAATTTTGCATTGAACTGCATTTGAAGAATATAAATAAAGTACATAAATAAGTAACAAAAATTAAACGAATACCTTTAAATATACAATTTAAAAAAAAAAACAGGAAAAAGCAACAATATTTAATTGCTTCGCCAAAAGTTCTCTTATCTAAGTATTTCCATAACTAGAATGCTATAGTCAAGACACCAACCACTAATAACGCACAAAAACGTGCGGCAACAACACCATAAACCTCTTTAGTAAAAACAAAACGTAATTAAAGAATGAACGCTAATCTTAACGATTAGATAATCGGTTTTTACGGCTATTGTATTTGCATTATGGACTATCGTTGGTGGTGCTTATAAAACATGCAATAAATTTCAGCGCGATAAGCTGCTATATTTAAATATATATACCATTTTTTATTACAATCGAGTGAACTCAGGCGTTATTGCTGCTACCTCCACTTCCGCCGCCGTTGATTATGCCTAATATATCGGCCAGAGATTTGTCACCAATCAAATCGTTCATCACTGGGGTCGCAGTGGTATCAATCCATTCCGCCACAAAGTCGGTATTGTCATTGATGGTTAGGGTGATGAACTCCTCAACAACTTCGTTCAATTTGCGATTCAATATGCGATATTTGGACAGATTCTCAATATTGGAAACCACGTTACCAACCTTGATGAGAATCTTAATGTCCTTAATTTTGACATTACCGGAAATAACGCCCAGCGAATACTTGATTTGCCCGTCAATATTTAAATCCTCGAGAGCCAAAAACGCTCCACCATTGCGCTGCATGCGAGAACTGCTGCCTATATCGGCCTTGTAGTTGGTCGTCACATTTAGGCTGGCGAAGTTAAACTCGAAAGTCATGCGACTCAGCAGTGGACTGGTCTTCAGGCTAACAATCTCGAACTCGTTCAAGCCCTGAATCACAATGTTGTCGAATTCTCCATTGGCACTATCGAAATTGAGTTCCTTGTGATTGAGGACAAGTGGGGCCATTGGAGGTATGCCATATTGTGGCCAGCCCTCCTCCATTTGAATTTTCATGGCCTCCAGTGTGTCCACAATCATGCTGGAGATAGAACGGCTCTGTGCTGTAAGCAAACAAATCATTAAAGTCCATTTCCAACTTAGAGTTAAGATCTATAGTTTATTTACCTTCCAGAGCCTGTGCCACTTCTGCGCTCTGACAGCCGGCAAAGCCAATAATTAAAAGAGTTAGTCCCAGGAACTTCATTTTGGTAGCACACGTTGTTTCCACTAAAGACTCTAGGTTATACTAAACCTTTCCCTATGAAGACTAACGCTATTATATAGTTTCTGCCTTAATCGTAATCTACATATTTTCGATGATAAATACCAAAACTTTGCAAAGTATTGTATAATTGCTGTTGTATGTATATGCGATTAACAGTAGCCTTCTATAGTGGCTACTGATAAGTGGTGCTTAAGAATAACACTAGGCGAGTGGCTCTAAATGTCTGAACGCAACTGTAATATTGGTAAAGCTTTCGATCCAAATATAAGAGCATTTTCAGAGAAAAAGAAATGACCTTTATGGTTAAGTATATGATATTTATTTAACGCTTTTTAGTAATCGTTTTCTAGTCCAGCTCTGGGGGAATGCAGGCCTCCTTCTCGCCACCCTCGCCACCACTACCAACGGCATCCATAATATTCACATCCTCCAAAGCGCTGTTGACAACGGGCAGGGCAACCGACTCAATGGTCTCGGCAATCAAGTCCTCATTCTCATTGATGGCCGTCTCAACAGCCTCAGCCAAATAGGCGTTCATTTTCTCGTTGACGGCACCATCACCCAGCATGCCCTCAATTTCGGAATCCACTTCACCCAAGTGGGTGCGGACCTCCATTGACTTGAGGCGTAGCTTGCCGCTAAGCAGACCGAAGGAGTACTTCATTGTGCCCCAAATAACCATGTCTTTAAGGGCGAATTTGGCGTGGCCGGCACCGACCATGTTAATGGTGAAACCGTATTTCTTCATCAGCAACTCAATATCGTACTTGGTGTCCACATTGACATTCGAGAAGCTGAACTTGTAGGTCACTTTGCTGGTAATGGCATTTATCTTCATCTCATCGATGTCGAACTCATTCAGACCATTTAGACGGAAATGGTCAACGCTGCCCTTCAACTTCAAGGCGGGTGTGTCGATGTCCAAGTTCCAGTGATCTATTTTCAATGGGGCCAGTGGTGGGATTCCCATGCCGGGAAAACCACACGGCATTTGCTGCTGAATGCCCTCAATGGCCTCCACTACAGTGCTGGAGAGGGACAGCTCGCCTGTTATATGTTAAGAAAGGCTCTTTTACAATTCTAATTCACAGCGTTAAGGGGTTTCAAGATGCACTTACCGATGGGCTCGCCTACAGCGGCGGCATTTGCGGCGGCCACAAGTGCCAAGAGTGCCAAAGCGATTTTCATTTTAACAATTTTGATATTAGCTGACTGCTCGTAGTACCAACACTTTTTATACTACTCAATGGGTTGGCTAGTCCACGGCCTTTTATAGACGCGCCACTTCATGCAGGTGCTTCTAATGCTGATAAGACCAATCCATTGGCTATAGTTACTGACTGCCTGTCTTATCTGTAGTATTATTGCCATATTATTGAATGAAAATAATTTTTTAATTTGGAATATTTCTTGTCTTGATTGAAAGTTTTTGGCCACCACTTGAGGACAAACGACCCCCATCGAATAAGATTTGCGTTGCCAAAAAAACACCAGGTGTACAAAAGTGGCTAACGGCTGCTCTTTTTTTTTGTTTTTGGCCGAGACAGACAGGTGTGCTTCCTCGAGGGTATATATTTGATAGAACAAATCATGCCACTTCTGGTTGACAACAAATTTTCTTGTTATTTATGATGTGGTTGGCCCAGAGTACTTCAAAAAAAGTAGTGGCATGATTTATGAACTGATACTTATATTTTCTAATATATGAAGAAAATGTGATACAAAATTGAACTGCGTAGTCCTTTGTTCCAAAATATCATTGATTTACTGATGAATTTTGAAGAAATTCTACCAGTACTTAGGCCATATATTTAATGTTCTTTCAATTGAAACCTTTAACAATTCTTCTACAAAACCTCTTTGGTATTAAGCTTGTTTGTGTAATTTCTCAGCCATAATCTTAATCTGTATAATCTTCCACAACCCATTTCGAGGCCCTTGCTGAAAAAGAAAACAATCATCGATTCCTTCAACAGAAAATTAAAATAAACCTAATGTTCCTTCAATTGAAATCGCCAACAATTCTATGCCACTTCTGCAAAAACCTTATTGGTATTAAGTTAGCATGGTGTTTGATTTCTAAACCCTAAGCCTAATCACAATCAGTATAATTTTTTACAACCCATTTCGAGGCCCCTGCTGAAATAGAAAACAACTCCAGCATTTGGGTCTTTGTTTGACAATCGTCGATTCCTTCAATAGACAATGACAATAAAAATGTTGTTAAGCCCAAAAGGTGAAAAAAAACTAAATATAGATTGTTGAGACACCTGCAAAAACTTTGACGTAGGCCAACAATCCCAGCTGACCAACATAGGCAAATGCGTCGCACACCTTTAAATGTTTCGCAATGATAAGTCATATATTCTTGTATAAATCATGGCAGTAATCGCGATTATATGGTCAAGATTAGACCAATAAAAGTCAGTAAAGCAATAAACAGTGGCAGCCACTTAGGCTACATAAGTGTTTTGCACTTCTGATCTTCCTCCTTCATAAATATCGATGAGGCAATTACGTTGCTTCTGCTGCTTATCGCCTATTAACTTGGCTTTCTAATTACATACATTTGACCATAGGTTAAGACCATTGGTCAATGCATTGACATTGACAAACAATGCAGAGATTAAACTTCAAAAGGCACTTCAATGTGCCAGCTTAGAATTATATATAGTTCCCGTACTTGGATCTGACTATAAAAAGGGCTCACAACATTGGAACATTATACAGCTGTTGAAGGTTGGTTGAGCTGGAAAAATAAATAATAAAAATGAGGGCTATAGTTTGTGTATTTGTCGCGCTTTTGGCCTGCGCGGTGGCCTACGATGTGGAGCTTCTAAGCGAGGCTGAATGGAATCGTTTGGTGGAGCGAAATCGTAAGTTTCTGTTGAGAGAGTCAGAGAGAGTGAGAGAGAGTTGAAGAATTGTATGTTTTCCCGCAGCTGTGAAGCCGGATGCGCAGGGCTTGATTCTAAATTCGCAGGCTAAGAAGGCCATGAAGAATATGATGGCTCAAATGCCTTGCGGCTGGCCCGAATATGGCATACCGCCATTGGCGCCCTACACAAATGCTGAGTTTGAAATCAATTTGGCAAAATCTGTGGTCGAGTGAGTAGACACGAATCTAATCCGAGCCAGCATCCATATCTAAATCACTCCTTACTGCAGCTCTCTGCTGCAATTTCTGCGTTTCCGTCTGGATGGTTTGGACGAAATGGAGATCAAGAAGATGAAAGTCAGCTACACTTTCAGCAAAAAGGTGCAGTTCCATTTCAATTTCAAGGAGCTAAAGGCCACCTCTCATGTGCTGAACACCGACACCTTCGTCGATCTGATGCGCGAATTGGGTTTGAGCGTGCGCTATGAGGGCACTGGACCGCTGGCCTTCACCCTGGAGAATCTGTCCATTCAGGGACAGTTCAAGTATAAGATGCCATTCATTTTCGGTTCCATCAAAATCTATAAATTCGAATGTGTGGTGGCCTTGGGCGGCGTCAAGTCCAGCATTGGTGGCATCTTGGGTAATGGCAGCATCAATGAGATGATTAACGATATGATTGAGTATGAAGTGCCTGCCTTCATAAATGGACGCCAGAAGGAAATAAGCGAGAAGATTGAGTCTATTTTTGTACCCCTTGTCAATGAAAAGTTGAAGGGTCATAAGGTCTGGTACTTGTTCAGTTTGCTGGCCAATTCGTCCAGAACCTGTAAGCCCACCCCAGCGCCTTGGCTAGCTGTGGAGCATCATTAAAAGAAAGAGTGTCAATAATAAAAATAATCCTATTTTTCGCTTTAATTAGCCCCATTTTGGAAGTATATAGTCTGCTATCGGTGGTGTCCATCTTGAATATTTGATAGTAGAAACCACCGTCACAGGTGGGCATGCCTTCTCGTATTATCGTCGCTTTTTCTGTATTTGTTTGATAAGCCGTACATGTCCCAGCCTATAAAAGAGGCCGGCGGTCTGGCCATCATATTCAGTAGGAAAGTTGACTTACTAGAGTAAATCGACATGCGTTTTTTCATAGTTTTGGCCTGCGCCATTGCAGTTTGTGCCGCCGGCACTGTGCCCAGCTCAAAAATCGAGCAGCTTCTGGCTAAATATGCCGACAAGAATGGCGATATTGTCTTGTTTGACGAGCCCGCCGATAGTCCAGTTGAAGGTAAGCCCCCAGTACAAAATGCCTAGGAAGTCTTTTGCTTAACTCGCCTTCTCTTAATCGCGCGCACAGTTGCTCCCCAGTTCATCATTTCGTGGCAGCTACGTCGCGCCATTCGCAAGATGCAGAAGCAAATGCCCTGCGGCTGGCCCCAGTATGGTATTCCCCCACTAGCCCCTCTGCGTATTAACGAGGCTGATCTGAATTTGGAGCGCGGCATTGTGGAGACCATTAACCACGTCTTCCGTTTGAAGATTGCCGGCCTCGATGATTTCAAGATCAAGAAATTCAAGCTGAACATCTTCACCTCGAAGATTACCTTCGATTTCCTCTTCGCTAACATTGATACCACGGCCCAGAAGTATGATACTGATACTCTGATCGATGCCATGCGCCAGCTGGGATTATCGGTGGAGTACGAGGGCGCTGGATCACTACTCTTCGATCTGATTAACTTCCGTGTGGCCGGCACCTTGAAGTACAAACTGCCCGTGTTGTGGGGCTCAGCCAAGATCACCTCGTTGAAGACGACCATAACGGTGGAAGATGTCAAGTCCGATATTACTGGTTTCATGGGCAATGGCAAGATCAATGCGGCCATCAACCGTCAACTGGAGAATGCTGTGGTCCATGGCCTCAACGATAATCAGCAGGCTATCTCCGATAATATTGAGAACACGATTGTGCCACGTGTGAATAAGATGCTGAAGGGCAAGGACTTCTGGACCCTTGTTGATTTGATCACGTCGAGCAGCGATGGCGAGAATGAGGATGATCCAATTGTTGTCGATTGCGATCCTAGCGATCCCTGGGCTTAAGTTTTATGCTGCGGTTAAATAAAGTATTGTCCCAAATTTTTATTGGCTAGTACAATTATTGCGTGAACTAGGATCGGGGATTAGTTGTCTGCGATGAAAATTAGCTGACTAAATGTTTCTGAACTTGATGTACAATAGAATCTAGAACTAGCTCCCAGTAGTGACTAGCTGACTAGTATATTAAATGTTTCTCAGCTTTTTGTAGAGTAACTAGTACGAGCATAAGTTCGGTTGAAAAGAATTCTACATTTTGCATACTTTTAGGAGAGGGAGTAGTTTTTTGGTCAACCATGCTTATCATTGGCCAACACACACCTGTTCTACAAGTAATCCAATCTTATCGTCAGCACTTGAACCAATAATCGCTATAGTTATCTACCGAAATGCCACCAGTTTTCTGGTCTTAGCTGTCTGACTCAAATATAATGGCATTAGTTTCCGCTTAATTGGCAAAATGCGTACTACCATCCTAACAATAGCGCTTTGTGGCCTGCTCAGCTGCCCTTTGACCTCCGCCACTGCTTTCGATGACACATTGCGGGAGGTGACCGAGTTTCTGCGTTTGCAAATGAGATGCGGTTATCCGGATCGCGGTATACCTCCCCTGGCGCCTCTTGAGGTTCCCTATAAGGCTGTGGATAATCAAGCCGGTGGCTTTAAGTAAGGAATTGACGCACTCCATCATTCCATTCTTCACAACTATTGTTCTCTTAGTTTCAAGGGCAACTTTACCGACCTCAGCATTGCTGGACTGGATGGCTTCGAGTTCTCCAAATTGGAGTGGAATAATATTTTCCACACCATCAAGTTCGATGTTGTATTGCCGCACCTTAAGCTAAGCAGCTCCAATTACAAACTGAACATATTGGCACATCTATTGGGTCTTGATTTGTCCTTGTGGGGCGATGGCGTCTTTGACTTGGAACTCATTAATTTGCGAGCCTATGGCAGCTTTATTATACGACCCACATCGGCGACCAATGGTGTGTATGTGAAGAGCTGGAAAGTTGTGTGGGAGTTGGAGGAGGCGAGGTCGCAGACAACAGGCATTATGGGCAGTCGTGTCTACTCAAAGGTGGTTAATGATTTGATCAAGGAATTTCTGGAGCTCTTGATTAACGATAATCCCGATGAGATTTCTCAATTCATGGAGGATTTAATTGTGCCCCCATTGAATGAGGTGTTGGCAAATGTGGCCTGGTACGAGATTACGGCTGTTATTTTGGGTCTCGCCGAGGGTATTTTGCCTGTGGAGGCAATTTGTTAAATTTAAACTAATTCTAAATGTATACAAGTGCATTCATAAAATTTTGCTATAGAACAATAAATCCATCTTAAAAGATTAAAGTATTGAACTGATTTAATTGCAATAATTATTTATAATAATTATATGTGCATATGATCAACAGAAAAACCTTAACAAATGCAACTTAGTTTCATTTTAAGGCGAAATAATGCATCATAATATTGAATGTGTGGTCGATATCAGATTGCGAAATTTATTTTAAATTTTAAACAATATCGAACTCAATTTAAAAACGCAGCTGCTTGTTTGAAAAATTTGGTTAAAAACGGAATTTTATAAAATATTTATGATACGTAGTACAAATAAATTGAAATGTATAGATTGTGTTAAGAGTAAACCATCTGTACAAACGTCTGAGAAGAATAATGGTTTATTAGTGTTGGTGTAGTGTTTGGGGACTGACAGATCAGTGATGAGCTATATCAAAAAGATAAGGCCATGTGAGGCCACGACTAACGTAAAGAAAAGAAGAACCACGACTGAGTTTCAGTTAAGAAGACATACGTTTATCCAGGGGGGTTGCGAAGGACTGACTAATGTCGCAATCTTGTTACATTGAGAATGGAACAATAGCTTTGAATTAACGGCTAGAAGCAGGTAAATTGCACATTTAAACAATTAGTTTAGAATTAATGGCTAGAAGCAAATAAATTGCACATTTAAGCAATTAGTTTATTAGAAAGCTCTCAAAAATTCTACCATGCTGTTCAAGTGAGGTTGAACCAATTTTTATTAAATTTTCATTAGCAGTAGAAATTCCTTATACAACCTAATGGCAGCCGAATCCGATTTTAAATATAGATATATGATTTTTCAGATGGTGGTGAAGTCTACAAATTAGTATTTTTAATGATGTAATCATACTTCTTCGTTTTTTATTGCTATTTCTTCATCTCCATTTCTTTTTCTGACCACTCTCTGCTGTGAATCACGGCAAATAAAATTCCCCTACCGAGTCGACTTCATTATTAGATATTTTTGTTAATTTATATAGACTTGTTTATTCTTTAGTTTTATTTAGTTTATGGTTTCTATTGAATTGATTTTTTTTTTGTTTACTTCGACAGCTTTGTTTGTCGATGAAAAAATAAATAAATAAGTAAAATAAACTTCTAAATTGAGGCTTTCAAAAAAATATGTAAAGTTATAGATAATTGATGAGCGCTCCGTTGGTAATATCTGCAATGCTACAGGAATTCACACATATTTCTGAAAGCATCTACAATTTCTAAAGTTTTATAAAGTGCAATAGAAAGTTGTATCAGCAATGCTTTAATATTTCTCTACATTTTTCCTTCTTACAGGTAAGCTCTGAAACATTTCAATCAACTCTAAAGCCGCTCTTTAAAGGTATGTCATTGCTTTCGATTTATTTTGCGTGTATGGGGTTTCCGTGCTCTAATCGTTTTTACCATAAATTATGGTCGTATTATATAAGCGCATAGAGAGAAAAAGCAGAAAAAATATTTAGGAGAAGAAAATCCTTAATCGGATTGCCGCGCAGCGCCAGCAGGACATCTCAATTCTCTGGCTCGCTCGTTCCTAACTGGCTTTGTGTCCTGGCAGAGTTCAAGCGTCGCACGAGCCCTCGCACAGCATGCATTCAACGGGTGGTCCTTTGCCTTTGCCGGGCCAACACTTTGCAGCCGCAGTCGAAGCCGAAGCCTTAGTTCAAATCAATCTGTGCGAGACCTGTGCGAGTGGTTTTGCTTTTCGAATAGTTGTTTGTGTGTGTGTGTGTGTTTAGAACTCTAACACCCGTTAAAAACTCGCCAGCCTTTGTTTTGGAGCAAGCAGATGTTTTTTGTTAAGCTGCAGCTACATTTTTTTTTCTTTTTTGTCATCTTCAACTTGGAGTTTGCCGATTAATGTCATCATTTGTTGTTAATTAGTGCAAATAAGTATAAAGTGAACACTTTCTAACTGAAGAAGACAAACAAAAATATATATACAAAAAGAGAATATCTGATCCTTTCACAAATACTTCGTTCCTGTCGGCTCTCTCCATTCATGGCATTGAGGAATTGGTTTTGGCTCATTTCATTTGCAATTTATGTGGCATCTTCTGCACACCTTGCAGGACTCTGACTTAAAATTGTCATAACGCAAATAATGAAATAGCCGCAGCAACAGCCGCATTTCGTGTGTCCTTTTATGTATGAGTACGTGCTCAGTACATCTGAGCTATCCTGCGGTGTGGCATTGTTTAACTCGAAGTTTTATGACCTACCGGACAGCCTGGCCATTGTTTGCGTTGCCTGGCAGTGCATTCAAAAATTCTCTTTTAAGTTCTGCCCGTTCTCTAACGGGGCTTCAGTTTTCCATGTCCTTGCAGTGCACTCTTTTTATTCCTTTTGCGGACGTAGGGTCCGACAAGTTTCTTTTCCATTGCTTCATACGAGTATGTACAATGCAATTTTTGAAAAAAGTCGTAAAATCATTTTGTCTTCTCTCATGCGGTTGCATTTGTTTCTCTGAACAACTTTCGCTTTCAAAGTTGCCTCGTCTATCTCGGGTTTGTTTGTTCTGTATTCCATACCCAGGGCGCCTGTTTGGCCCAGTTTGATTAGCCTCGATTCTTAGATTTTCTGCAGGCACGGACCATACGGTCTGTACCCCACGTTGATAAGGAATTGGCGCTACTTTTTGTTTTACAAAATCTTCGTAGAGGTCTTTTCTTTAAAACAGTCTTGTAAAGTTCTCATTATAATAAATTGATTAGCTTATTTCTTCTTTAAGAGTTTCTATAAACCAGCACTTGCTTGAAATATTTCCGAATAATCATTTTGTTTCAGTTAATTTCATAAAATTTGAGCTTTTGAAGCATCTTAGAGCTAGGCTCTATAATAAATAGCATTTGTTTATTTATTTATTTTCATTTTAGTCAATAGATTAGCTTTAACATTCTCTTCTAAAGATTTTCTAAAAATTATGAATTCTAGGAACTGTTTATTTCCGAATTATAACCAGCTTAGCAGTTTATAACTAGTCTTTTTTTTTGTTTTTCCTTTACGACTAAATGTTGAAACCCTTCATAAGCCGCGCATATAAAATATATTATTATTAGCTTCAGCATTAGGATTACTAATAAATTTAAAAAGATGGGCTAATATTTTTAGAAAAGAATCAATATATTACAAAAGCCAAATATGTATATTAGAATATTGTTTAGCAATTGAATGCGATTCCACTTAACTACAAGTAATTCATTGAAATTAACTTTCAAGTAATAACAGATTGATTTTAAATATGGCTTAGTATATTACTTAGTATGTAGACAGACTCTCCTAATCCCTAGGCAGCAAGAGTGTATTTTATATTTTTTCCGCCGTTCCTCATCTACTGCTTTTGGCTTTATTGCTCTTGCTCTTGTTAAAAATTAATACAAGTATCTACACTTTAATAATCTGATTACAAATTAAGTTTTGTAATCTCTGATATTGGATACTGTAGACTGTGATAAGTATTATCCCATTAGTTTGCGTCATAGCTTTCCACCAGCAGGGATATAGAATCCAGAATAGGTTAAAAGGTTTCATTTTTGTTACCCACCTAAGCACACAGGACCTGTTGGCTGGCCACCACTATATTGCAGTGCGGAGCGTGTGTGTCTTGGGCTTCATTTTCAGGCTCGCTTTTCTTACCACTTCAGCGGCTAATTGAAAACTTTTAGCCCACTTTACATTTCATTTGGCAGGCAGGCAGCAGGCGGCAGACGGCAACGAACGTCAATATTTGTGAGCGTCCTTTGAAGTTGCTTTGAAAGGGAGCCGAGTCTGGCATTCCTTTTGACACTTTCACTTAAACTATACACAGTTTTCCGTATTAAAATTTCATATGCTTTCAATGAGAGCACTCGGCAGATAACGGAGGACGAGCTGGCAAGGGTTGCAGATAATTTAAAATTTATGACAGCGCCAGTCTGGGCGCGGGATTGTGCTCGTATAACACGCAAAATTAAGATTCATTAAAGGAGGCCAAAAGAATAATGCGGCTGGCTGAAATAAATCAGAAATATGGCAAAAAATGCCAACATGTGAACATGTGAGCAAGGAGATAAGACGAAATTGAATTTGGAGGGCGCAGGACGGCATGTATCCTTTATTTATTTAAGGATGCTGTGGCTGTTGTTGTTGTTGTTGTTTTTCCCATCGTTCATTGTGCCTTAAATGAGTTTTAATTTGAAACGTAGTAGCTCAAATGTTCGCATTGCAACTCTTTGTGCGCATTAAGTCAAGAATGAAAAAAATTCAAAACGCAGATTGCTCGACATTGTCTTCTGGTCCGTGCTGGCTCCAGCCTCCTTGTCTGCTTCTCTGCTTGTAACTGAGCAGCGTAATTTCCCAAATCGCACCTGAATAGGTGCGTTGTCCTGTAAATGAACAGCCGCCGATTCGTATCCGCAGCAACGGCATTTGCACAACAACAACAACTGCCAAGCTAAAGGATGCTACGTATTTTTTCAATTAAGGTTGACATGTTGCCCATGTTGCTGCTGTCTGGCTGTTTTTTATTTCACAAATTTGTTTCATGTGCCAAGTCAAGCTGAAAATTGCGCATTTGGCTCGCACCGCCGGGATAGAGAGTAGAAAGTTTAGCGTAACAGGATTACAATTTCTTTTTTTTTCCTTGGTCCTTCATCACGCAAGGCTTGTCTTACGGAAGCGCTGCAGTCTTGTACTTGCTGATTTTATATTTTAACTTCATGGCTTCGCTTCTAGTCTATCTCATAGCACTTGCACACCTGGCTTATCCCAGTTTTTTAGCCTGACACGCCACAAAGTAATTCCCCACACCTCTCCATCAACTTTGATGTGCAATCGATCAATTATTGCCGGCTAATTGATAAATTCCCAACCAATTGGAGCGTTCACTTAGCTGGGAAAGCGAACATATGATTGCCGGTTTTACAATCTTGCAAAGCTCGTGAAGTATTTTAAAGAATTTACCATAAGGTAGCTTAGCTTTGGCCATAGATGGCTTTTATTCGTCAGATTAAAGCTCCACAGGGATTATTGAATTTAAGTGAGAGTTGTGAATG